TGTTCACATTTGGGACATTGAGTATCTGTGCCAAGTTTGATTTGAGTCCACAGTGCTCTCTGGATGTAGGTGAACTACAACTCCCAAACTCAAGGTCAGTGCCCATCAAAGCCTTCCAGTATTTTTTGTTGGGCATGGGAGTTCTGTGTGCCAAGTTTGGTTCAATTCCATCATTGGTGGAGTTTAGAATGCTCTTTGATTGCAGGTGAACTATAAATCCCAGCAAATACAACCCCCAAATGCCACCAGTGTTCACATTTGGGCATATTGAGTATCAGTGCCAAGTTTGGTCCAGATCCATCATTGTTTGAGTCCACAGTGATCTCTGGATGTAGGTGAACTACAACTCCAAAACTCAAGGTCATGCCCACCAAACCCTTCCAGTATTTTCTGTTGGTCATGGGAGAACTGTGTGCCAAGTTTGGTTCAATTCCATCGTTGATGGTTCAGAATGTTCTTTGATTATAGGTAAACTATAAATCCCAGCAACTACAACTCCCAAATGACAAAATCAATTTTTTTTTGAGTGAAGGACATACATTGGGTTGTTAGGTGTCCAGTGGTTTTTGAGTTCTGTTAATCCCACAAACAAACATTACATTTTTATTTATATAGATTTATTTCCTATATTTATACCCTGCCCTTCTCCCCCTGAAAGGGGACTCATGCTTACATATTCCAAAAACCACTTTCAAAAAGACAGAAAATAGAATGCTTTCCTCATTTTAATTGGAACTATTTTATCTCCAGAAATGCTAAAACCATGCTTTATGTTCAGATTGTAACAATAAAAATACATCATGCATATCAGATATTTACATTACAATTCATAACAGTAGCAAAATAGGACATATGCAGTGTGCATAGGAATTTGGTCATCATTTTTTTTAAAAAAAACTATAGTCCGGCCCTCCAACTGTCTGGGGGACAGTAATCCGGCCCCCCGTTTAAAAAGTTTGAGGACCCCTGCTCTATAGTATAAGATATCACAATGCATTTTCTCTCTTCCACTTTGTACTGTTGACAGGCTACTCATTCTGAAGGAGTTCTAAGGTTAGTCCTGATCTATGCATTTATTATTTTGTAATGGCTTAAAGAGACATGATGACAAGGAAGACTTCTCTCTTCCACTCCCTGTTGGGCCATTTTGTGGGCAAATGCCATTTCCTCCCTAAAATCCATTGGCATAGATCCAGAACAGTCATTCAACCAATGGAATCACCTCTCTCAATGAAACTTAGGCCTCTTCCGCACAGCTGTATAAAATCCACATTTAACTGTATTATATGGCAGTGTAGACTCAGATAATCCAGTTCAAAGCAGATGTTGTGGATCATCTGCCTTGATATTCTGGGTTATATGGCTGTGTGGAAGGGCCCTAAGAGGGAATCAGCATTTCTTACTTTCACAATGCCATTTTCATCCTTTGAATGTTCTCCGGAGACCAAGAAATCCCTAGCAATAGACCTTTTTGTAGCTTGAGACAGTTGCAAGGGCAAATAAAGGAACAAAATCTTTTTACTCTGACAAACTTCCTCTAGCACAATGTTGGATTTAAACCATTATGTAATCCTAAATGTGCCATAATATCAGCTTTAAAGGAACTGCACTGGTTTCCAGTTTATTTTCAATCTCAATTCAAGGCACTACCTTTGACTTAGAAAACTAAAAGCTTGGGGACAGGATATGTGAAAGATTGCCTCCAAATCTGAGATCATCATCAGAAACCATAGTTAAAAATCACAAAGTTATCTAGATGTGTACCTATGACAGGGTTCTCTCTGTAGCACACACCAGCTATGGGACACCCTGTCAGAAGATTTTAGGCTGGTTTCATTTTTCTGGTTTATAGGTTAAACAGTGTGTTCCACATGGCTTGTGGTTTTTGATATTGTTCTAGCAGTTGTAACTGGTTTTAAATTATACTTCATAACAAAATTTGAAAAATAAAGTATGTTCCTGGTTTGAAAGTGTTATTCCTGTTTAATTGTGCGGTACTTTACTTTGAAAGTACTGAAAGCTGTTATACTCCAAAAACTTCATTTTTTGTGGCTGCCACCAACTAAGTTGATTTGGTTGACACTCAATGAGATAGGCATTGAAAATCTATAACAAAATGTGCTGCAGGATATCCTGCAAAAACAAAGTTTTTCAGTGTAATAAAGTTTGTCCATGTTTTATGATAGAACCAATTTGGAAATGACATTTATAATCCAGAAACAAAAATCATGTTACATAATGTTATTTGGAGAGGTTTGTTTAGCTTGTTTTTAAAAGTTTTCATATATTGATTTTAATGTTTTCATCCATTTTGAATTGCCTTAGAAGTCCTTTCAGATCTGGAGGACCCACTCTAAATGCTTTAATAAAAGGTTTCTGTGAATCCTATACCTCTTTGATTAATTTATAGGAGTTCCTATATGTTCAAGTGAAAGATAAACCTGGTCCTACAAGCCTGCTGTCAACCTGTCCGTGTTTACCATGAATCCTAGCCTAATGGCTTCCGCAGACCTAAGGAACATGCAGCAAGGAATAGGAAGAGGCTTAAGACCCGGTGGCGGAGTGGGTTATACCACTGAGCTGCTAAACATGTTGACCGAAAGGTCACAGGTTCAAATCCGGGGTTCGGTGTGAGCTTCCACTAACAGCCCCAGCTTCTGCCAACCTAGCAGTTCAAAAACATGCAAATGTGAGTAGATCAATAGGTACTTCTCTGGCGGGAAGGTAACGGAGCTCCATGCAGTCATGCTGACCACATGACCTTGGTGGTGTCTACGGACAATGCTGGCACTTTGGCTTAGAAATGGAGATGAACGTCAATCCCAGAGTCGGACAGGACTGGACTTACCTTTACCTAAGACTGTACCAATGCTGTTCCATGGTGTGTAGTTCTCCCTTTAGGTAACTGACAGAATAATTACTTCTGTATACAGAAGGAAAGAAAACTGTATGGGATCCATCAGAATTGCTAATATATCAGTAGACATCTTTAAATACTGTAAATTTATAATCAGAATCACTATTGGGTTAGAACTATAATGATTTGTTTTGCTCTCCAACAGGTTCTGGACCTGGCTCCAAATGATGGCTTTGCTAAAGTGCATTATGGCTTCATTTTGAAGGCAGAGAACAAGATTGAAGAAAGCATTCCATATTTGAAAGTAACAATCACATTAAGATCTTGCTGGTCTTCTTCTTTTGGAAACCACAAATTAAATGGGAAGGGATGAGGGATGCTAAGTTCAAAGTTAACATTCTATCCATATAGCATTAGAGATGTTCCCAGAAATGAATATCAATCTATATCCAGTTTTGCTGGAGAACCTGCATTGAAAAGGGAGATGGACCCAGTGACTTATGGGGCCCCTTCCAATTCTACAATTCTCTTTTCCTATATTTCTACATACAAATCTCTTCCTGTTCATACTGTATTCAGTTATTTATCACTGCTTCTTCCTCCCTATTTACTCTGCTACTGACAGACACTTCACATAACATTTTTTGAGATTTTTTTCTGAAAGTGCATCTCAGCAGTTAATACATTAAATTACCCTGCAGAGAGCATCTCCTAGAGATTTTACAGCTGCAGAAAATTTGGCTCTTCCTAGCAAAGACTGCAAGACAGGAAAAAGGAATGATAAATAACGGACTGCACAGTGGCTACGGCTGGATGATACAGAATAAACCAGGGGACCACGAAATTCGGCCTTATCTGTTATTAGCAGTGTGCTGCTACACTTTGTTTGATTTCTTGTAGTTGCACTGGGAGCAATGCATGTATTCTTTTTCTATTTGATTGTGAGAAAAACAAAACAAGTGCCCATGTTCAGATGCCACTACAACCAATCAAACAAACCATGAACTGAGTATCTTGAAATTATATGGCCTACAAAGCACTTGGCCTGTCAAGATCCAAAGGACCAACCCACTAAGAATCCTTCTCAACTTCACCAAAATTGGTCTTCAAATGAAGAATTGTACCATAGAATCCAGGCACAATTCTCTACTGAAAGTTATTTGGGGTTGGGCATAAATTGTGAGGTGCCCTTCACATACTTTTAAAAATATAGTATTGTCTATTAAATAATTTTTGCAACTTAGTATTATATAGTGTTTGAATTGTGTTTTGTTTTCACATAAAACGCACACAGCCTTGAGGCCCTTATTGATAGAAAAGTGGGCTATCAATAAAATATAATAAACAGGCATGTATGGCCCATGAAGTTGTACAATTAAATATCTGGGATAGTTGATAGAAGCAAATATCTAGGATTAAAGTGTGACTAACGATGGAACAATTTTTGTAATTTGCACTTTTAACAGAGTTTACACAGAAAAGCATGGAGCTGAATTAGAAGTATCTGTCAGCTGACTGCACATTTTTCTCCTTCCTCTAGGAAGGTCTAGAAACAGGAGACCCTGGTACTGATGACGGTCGCTTTTACTTTCATTTGGGAGATGCCATGCAACGTGTTGGAAACAGTGAGGTAGAACTTAGCAGTTATTCTTTGAATATTATCCAAAAAGCAGGTGGGCAGGAGGAACATGATTGGGAGACTTCACCATTATAACTTCAATGTGTAAAGTTGGTAATACAGGTAGTCTTTGTGTTACAAACAACTGACTTACAAACAACTCATACTGAAGAATGGGACTACAGGAAGTTAGAGAAATCTACTCCTAGGAAGATAACCGTTTTCAGGAAAAATGTACAAAATGACAGAGAAGGTCTAGTCCCAGAAAATTATCTAGAAAGCATTATGCTGATTGCAGGTTCCTAGCCATAGAAACTGCCATTAATAGCTCTGCCAGCCCTTTTATTAGAAGATATCCCATCCTTTACATCTGTGGAGTGAAGAATGCAAGATAACTTCAGTTAAGGGCAGGGTGAGGTGTTGGGTTATGAGATAGCTCTATTGGTAGTGTTGACAAGATGGAGTAAGAAATCTCTTTGCTTTTCATATTTCTTGCTTGAGAAAGATGGCTCTTCATTTTGACCGCTGATTTAGCAGCTGCCAAAATTATTTCACTGGGGAGGGCATTGCAAATGTTTTTCGGCCATTTCAGTCATGGAGTGAGGGTGGAAATCAACCTCATAGCCAAATGTGATATAATACCTACTCATATTTTTAGACTTTATGTAGATTAATGTTTCATTCAGTTAAGTAGCTGATGTAGTGGACAAGTGGCTCATTTTCTGCCATTGTCATTTTCAAGAATGGAGTGGATCAGGACAACAAAGAAGCAAAGCATAAAAACTCCCATTACTTAGCGAGAGGATGAACTGTGAACCACCTTCCATTTTCAACAGTAGATTTTTCTCTGCTGTGCCCTTCAGTTGGTGATTGTGGAGGAAATGTATTTGCAATGGATACTTAACAAACAGAGATGAGCATTTTTAAGAATTGTTCATTACCAGGAGCAGCAGGAAAAAACTATCCTAATTATTCATCATCACATGTGGGGATGAAATAGTTGATGCTTTACATATCTTGTGGGAGATGGCCCTTGTGTGTAGGTGTCCAATGCACACATAAAAAAGCTCAACATGCAGGGTTTTTAAAGGTTTCGAACACCAGTTTAATTTCCCATATGATTTATGATATCCACATCATAAATGGATCCATGAATAGTAGTTAAAAGTTTGTGTGGGCAAAATGAGTAAAAGTTAGTGGAGGCATAAATTGGGTTTGTGAAAAATGAACAGAAAGCTATACTGTTGAATCTGTCACTCTAAGGTCTGTTTTTAAATTAAAGAAAAATATTGCTGGATATGCTGAAATTTAAAATTTAATCATGGTTAGAAATCGATACATAAGCATTTATAATCATGATCGCTGATGGCGCACATTTATCATCTACAGTTTCAGTTAGGACTGAAGGGTTCAGCTTTCAAAATGTTTTGATTGGAGAAGTTTTATGGATTGCTTTTACACTGCCACATAAAATGCACTGTGGATTAATCCTCTTTAAAATCTTGCCTTATATGTAAGGTACTGCAGAGGTGCTGTAAATGCAGTATGTTTAGGTATAACAAGATGCATTTACAATGAGCACCAGTATGCAAAGTGCTCTGGTACAGGTTTGATAGTATGGGTGGTAAGGGAAGGTACATCCATAACCGACACTGGACAGGGAACAGGTACGAGGTGTGTTCATTAAAGATTTCCCCTGACCCACTTCCTGTGGACTGAGAGCAATGAAACTTGGCACAGTTATTAGTCCTTCTCTACATAGGTGCCACCTAGGGATAAACACTTCTCCTATCTTTTTAAGCAGCTGTAAACACCTTGCTTGTAGAAGTCAACAGGTTGCTCCAAAAGCCACATTGTGACTTTGGAAATTAGAGTTTCATCATCTGAAAAATGCTTACCCTTCAAAAATAACTTCATTGTTGGAAAGAGGTGGTTTGAGGTCTCGTGAATAAGGGGGATGCGGTAGAATTTCAAAGCCACAGGCGATTGCTTCCATTTGAGCAAGATGTGAGTTGTGAACTGGTGCATTGTCTTGCAGAAGGTGGACACCTTTGGTGAGCATTCCACGTCTCTTGGTTTTGATGGCCTTCTACAATTTCTGCAGCAGTGAAGCATAGTATGCCCCAATGATCATGGCACCCTTTGTTAGGAAATCCATCAATACTACTCTGTGCTGGACCCAAAATACTGTGAGCTTGACCTTGCCTGCCGAGAGTTAGGCACATGCCTTCTTTGGAGGCAGTGAGTCATGATGCTTCCATTGCATCGACTGGGGTTCAGTCTCGGGATCATAGTGATGGAGCCAGCTTTTGATTAGTCTTTTGAAAAAGTCTTCCTGGTTTCATGGCACATCGTCAATAGAGCCTGAGAGCATTCAACTCGTTCCTGCTTGTGAAAAGGTGTGAGCAGCCGGGGACCCAGTGAGCGGATACCTTATGCATGTGAAGATGGTCTTGTATGGTTTTTTCCACGGACCCCACACGAATCTTGGCATTTTGGGCTAGGTGGCAAATGGTTATGCAGCAATTGTCCAAAGTGGCAACCTCCACTTGCTGGATGGTGTGTTCATCAAGAGAGTGGGGTCGCCCTGGAATTGGAGCTGTTTGCACCAAAGTCCAACCACATTTGAATTGACGATGCTAGTTCTTGACTACATCATATGATGGGGAATCATCACCATAAACATCTTTCATCTCATCGACCATCTCCTTTGGTGTGTGGCCTTTCAAGTAAACTTGATGACTGTTCTGTTTACCACTGGGTCTGTCATCAAACCTCACACCACTTCAGCACCTATAAAATCAAGACCGTTATCAGTTCTGAGTTGTAAATTGGCACATATCATGTAGTGACTTTTATCATTGCACATGTGCAGTTTCAGTGTCCTGTGATAAATAGAAGTGGGTCAGGGGAAATCTTTAATGAACACTCCTCATAAATATATGCAGACCAAGCTCCCTTTTCTCAGCATCTTACTGAAATGTTTCTGTTAAATGCATAAAAACAATCCTTTGGTTTGTTGCCAGCCTAAATAAATGCCACTCATTATCCCTGCCCTAAATCCAACACAGAGCTTGGAAGTAATATGCTAAAAGTAACATAATTATCTGTAATGAGGCACTTCCTTTTTGTTGTTGTTGTTGACAATATAATGAAGCCACATTTCAAAAATAACATAATGAGTGGAAACAAAATCACTTCACTGGTGTAATGAGTAACTTTTTTCCCCTAGTTAATTGTGACAGGTACGTTTGAAAAGCATTTTAGACATCTTTAGAGACTTTTTGATGAGTGTTTTATGCCATTATCTTATCCAAAGAAAATGTAATTTAAAAAATAAATAAAAAGAAAGAGAATTAACTCAACAAGTAACTTTTAAACACGATAAAGGGTAATGACAATGAACTACATAGTAGAGTAAATTTCTCTTTTAAAAAAGTATCTAAGTTTTGAGCGAGCTTCATGCTGGTGCTAGAAGTGGAATATTCTTCTTCTTCTCCCCAAGCCTTCCAGACTGACTTATGGTAGCCTTTAGCTAAACCTGTTACAGTGTTTTCTTGGCAATATCTATTCAGAGAAAGTTTGCCATTGCCTGAGAGTGTGGCTTATCCAATGTCACCTAGTGGATTTCCATAGCCCAGCATGGATTTGAATTCTGGTCTCTAAACCTCTACTTGGAGCCCTATAAAGCAAGGTACTAATGGAAAGCCATTTTTCCAGTTCAGGAACTAAAAAATCTCCCAATTTAAAGATATATTTTTAATTGCCTGATTTTTTTTAGTTTCCCAGATTAATGGTTGGGTGGAGGGGAAGCCACACCATTTAGGACTGGTTGATTTATAGCAGCCATAAAGGATCTTTTTGGTTTTGCCCCATTTCTCAATTTTTTTTCTCGAAGCCTCAGCTGCTTAATGCCTTCTGCTGAAAGTCATTTCCTTCATAACTCATTAGAGTTGCACATGCTAGGCAAGTACCCAACATGGCAAGTATGAAGAAAATGTGAACTTGATCCTCTCTATGCCATTCTTCCTGATTTCTCCCTGCAAGTCATGGCTATTTTAAGAACATGACTTGAAACTGTAGGCCATTCCATGAATCTGAAATAGATTTGAAGCACCTTGTTTATGAAATGCCAGCCTATTAGTATAACACTTGAGAATAATATGGAAATTGCATGTACATGCAAAGATCTATTGGGTTCCACTGATTTTTGGTTGGTGGAGCAATATATTAATTGGATGTATTTAATACGGTGCTTTCATAGGGAATACTTTCCCTCTTTCCTCCGTGACTCCCCCTCACTTATAACTTTTCAGGTTGGATAATCGTCAGAACTGTATGGGATTTGAAATTGAGCTGTGGTGAGAAGAGGAGCTCATGAGAAATTGAATGGAAATACTTTCACAGAGAGGAAGGAGATTTCCATTCTTTTAGTGCTGCCATTGCTGAATTGCATTGGATACAATCCAAAATCTTCTCTCCTTGTCCCTGAATCAAATTCACTTGAGCCAGTTCAGACTTGTTGGTGTTTTAAATAGGATTATTTTTTTTAAAAAAAATCTGTAAACGGGGAAGTAGAAAATGTAGGGATCTGCTTTATTTGCCTCTTTATTTGCCTCTTCTAGTAGGTAGACTACAAATAACATAAGACAAGTCCCCCTATAATTCAGTATGCATTGACTTAATTTGTACTTGTGTTGGTTACTAGGTAACTGTAGTTCTGTATAGCACAAAGAATTTGTTGTATTGGGATAAAACTATAGGGAAAACATACAATGTCCAAAATTTGATTAATTTAGTCAAAGAGAGTTAATGAAACATTTGGTTCTCTGCTCACAGAAGCCTTAGCTAGCATGAAGCATGAAGAGACTGAAGTGAACTGTTGGGTAAGGGAAAGAAACTTGCTGTTTGGAAGAATATGAAGAGAGCAAGTGCTGATTCTTGATGTGAATATTGTTATCCTTCTTTGCTAAGGCATAACTGATGCAAATGAATTAAAACATTTTAATCTTCTAGGCATACAAGTGGTATGAACTTGGACACCAACGGGGTCACTTTGCGTCTGTTTGGCAGCGTTCTCTGTACAACGTCAAAGGATTAAAGGCTCGACCCTGGTGGACAGCAAAAGAAACAGGTTATACAGAACTCGTCAAGGTGGGAACAGGAAGACATTGGCTATTATATGGTTTAAATGGTTTTTGTATTAATTTTATAATGCTTTTAAAATGTTTTAATTGTATATTGTGGATTATTAAGGCATCGAATGGCTGCCAATATGTAAACTGCTTAGAGTCGCCTTTGGGGTTGGAAAAGGTTGGATAGCAATATTGTAAATAATAAATAATAATAATACTAACATCATTTTGCTGCAGTTATCCACCAAGAGAAAAGAACTAAGACATCATATAGGAAATATCTTTTTATAGTGCTTCCATAGTACTTATACCCTTTCTGTCCAAGAGGATTCCAGATATTGGAAACTAAATAGAGAAGATATTTGTATTAAGAGGATTCTGTCCAAGAGGATTCCAGATATTGGAAACTAAATAGAGAAGATATCATTAGGAATTTTCATTTAGTTCCAAGAATTCTACCTGAAATCCTAGATAGCAGCACCTTTTGCAGTTAACAATACCAAACTAAATGCACCAAATCAGCTTCCAATGTTACTAACTTAGTAGCATATTGTTTTGAGTAGAAATTGGCAAATCTATTATTTGCAGTTTCTCATTTTGCCGATCTTGTTTGTTTGGTCCTGTTTCTATATTAGCTTTGTTTAAAAAATGGTGAAAACATATTTGGTAAGTTCGTGGGTTTACTGTAGGTATACTCTAGTCAGGACAAATAGTTCTTAGGACTTATACTTATCATTCTTCAACCCATGTTCAGATTGTTTTAATACTATTGTAGGAAGAAATGGATTGTGGAGGTATGTTAAGTAGCAAATACAAATGAGTACGTGGTTTTTGAGTTCATCAAATGAGGATGGCCATAGTAATTCAGGTTAATTACTACAAAGCAAGTCTTAAATTACTAAATGTTGTAATTAGAGCATATAAGAGGACAGTTCTTTTTCCCTTGTGCTCTCATAACTTTTAAAGGATTCACTGCATAGGTAGGCAATGTAAGGGCAGCTGAACAAATCCAAAATGCAACTATCAGTATTTCTAGCTTTCAATTTAGGCAAGTAAATTATAATCGGTAGTCTCTGCTGCTCTTAAATTACGGCGAAGAGTCTGTTATTAGAATACACATTTTGAATAAGTATTGTTTTTCAAAATGTTAGTGGGATTTCTACTTCTGTTTTATGTCAAAAGGCAAATCAGGGCAGTGGCTTCAGAAACTGCTGTTGATTTAAATTTTTTTGTTTCTAATTTAGTGTTTTCAGTATACTAGTAGAATGTTTTAATATGATGTGCTAATAAAACATTAATGTCCTCCCTTGATAGTTTTCTATCTAAAACATAACATTATAAATGATATTTTTCTTAATATTGTATGCTTACACCTGAACACTTACAATGTTCTCTGAGGTAGAAGTCTGAGGTTTTTGGGGGTTTTTTTTGTCTGAAGTCTGCAGCTTTCTGGTAATTATATTCTGTTAAAAGCAAGGGAGCTTGGGTTGTTTTTAAGTCTGCTTTGTATTTTATGAAAGATATTGATTGGTTTCATTGGGAACCACTTACAAGTAAAGCTCTTCTTCTACGGGTTAGAATGGAGTAGCCCTTGACCTAAGTGAACTGTTTAGTTCTCTAACCAGAGTTACATATCTCTCTCCTTCATGCAAAGGGATCTTGTAGCACCTTTAAGACTAAGAAAAGGAAGTTAGTAGCATATGTTTTCATTAAGTTTACTTCATTGGATGCATAGAATAACATGCCTAGAGGCACACATTTATACCTATAACCAAGTGGTTTCTAGTGGGAATAGCAAAACTCAAGGGTGTGGTGATGAGGTGAATAAATAACCATATTAATGATAAAGGAAGCTGTTGGAATGTAGTAAAATCAAGAAGAGAACCCTCATGAGGTTAGGGTGTTAACTAGCATTATAATGCCATATGTAGTATGCCAGGAATCCATTGTTTCTGTTCAATCCATTGTTCATGGACTAAAGTTTTAGATATATTCCAGTTGAGCCATTTATCTTTACAATCTTGCTTTGTAGTTTTATCTGTTTAAGGAGTCCTGTTCTGTAGTCTGAGATGGAATGTCTAGGAATATTGAAATGTTTTGGAACTGGGTTTTGTGTATTCCCATTCCTAATGTCTGATTTATGTCAATTTATTCTGTACTGCCATAACCTGGGGATCACAACCAGACACAGTGAAGACATCTGCCCTTGTGCTATGCTACTCTGCTGCTGAGTACGCATGCCCAGTGTGGAACACATCTCACCACACTAAAACAGTGGATGTGGCTCTTAATGAGACATGCGCATTATCACGGGGTGTCTGCACCCTACACCACTGGAGAAATTACACTGCTTAGCCGGTATTGCACCACCTGACATCCGCCGGGAAGTAGCAGCCAATAGTGAAAGGACCAAGGCAGAGACATCTCCAGCTCATCCCCTGTTTGGATATCAGCCAGCATGTCAACTACTTAAATCTAGAAATAGTTTTCTAAGATCTACAGAGACACTCGCTGGAACACCTCAGCAAGCGAGAGTCCAAAAGTGGCAGGCTCAAGCCCAGTACCTCAACCAATGGCTGATACCAAATGAGAGACTCCCCCCTGGGCACACAGAAGACTGGGCGACTTGGAAGGCGCTGAACAGACTGCGCTCCTGGCACCACGAGATGCAGAGCCAACCTCAAGAAATGGGGCCACAAAGTGGAATCCACGACATGCGAGTGTGGAGAAGAGCAAACCACTGACCACCTGCTGCAATGCACCTGAGCCCTGCCACATGCACAATGGAGGACCTTCTTGCAGCAACACCAGAAGCACTCCAAGTGGCCAGATACTGGTCAAAGGACATTTAATCAACTACCAAACTTGCAAATTTTGTGTTTTGTCTGTTTGTTTTGTTCTGTTAGAAATGTAATACAATTGACTGATTGCCCTGACACGACAAATAAATTCTGTACTGCGGAGACTGGTCTGTTTGCCCCATGCAAGAGAGATTAAGGGCATTCTTGACAGAGAATGGCATATATCACATTAAAAGATGAGCAAATAAAAGTATCTCTAAGATTGTGATCAATATGATTAGGTCCTGTAATGACATTTCCTAAGTAAATATGTGGGCAGAGTTGGCATCTGTATTTGTTGAAAAGACTTCTTCTACCAACAGCCGACTCTGAGAGAAGGAAGGAAGGGTGCCAGTGAGAGACCACAAGGGCCTTTTTCTTTTGTTTTTCTTATATTTAATTCAAAAAATATTCAAAAAGGGAGCATAACAAAAAGCATTAATAATGCAAAGAATCAAAATATTTATTATATATAAAACAGAGACTTCACAGCTATATTTTATGTAATATAGCCCACTACTAACCTACATAAAAAGTACAAACACTAAAACAAACATGCAGACCTGCCTCCATTCATTATCTGATTTTTGAATCCCTTATTACTATACCCCTTTAAATGATATTATATAACCACACTTCTACATTTGGCAACACTTTTCACCATAATACCTTTTCCAAAAGAAACTGTAATCTAATTGTAAGTTTCAATTAGAGCCGAGATGTAATGTGAATCACTAAGATTATATAAATTAATTGGATACACTCTAATTGAGTAAAAATTTGAATTATTCCAAGATATCATACCTAGCAGAGGAGAGGCTCCCCATCCTGGTTTCTGGTGGGACAATACTTCCTATAGCTGTTCTGCCCTATTTGGGGGTTTGTTTTTATTTATTTTATTTATATTATTGAATTTATACCCTTATTTTCTCCCAAGATTGGATGCATTCCTTTCCTCTCTTTATTGTAATAATAGAAGAATTGACAGGAGATTAAATTGAGGCCTCTTTTTCTTAGTAATATAGGGTCACATGATGTAGGGCTATTTCTGGCAGGGCTCCACACTGGCTCCATGTTGAAAGCGTGCTGGGAAGAAGAATTTAGAACACAGGTGACTGCCCATATTCTGATTGAGTAGGCCAAGGACAGTTCAGGGAAAGCTGGGTAGCAACCGCTTCCCCTGTGTGATGGCGAAGGGGGCAATGGGAAGCACGGTGTGATGGTTTCTTCCTCTGCCCCATGGACTTGCCACGCTGTGGCCCAACTTCAGGACCTCAATGTGATGAATTCCCTACTGGCACTACAAAAGTGGTTCACATACCTGATACACTTCAGCAACAGTAGATTCAATGGCTGCTGTCTCTGAAAGAGAATCAATTCCCCCCTCCCTCTCTACTTGTAGAGATGTAGGAAAAAAATTATTAGAAGTATAGCTCTTTTATAGTCGCAATGTTTTCAATCGTAACAGTCTGAGCACAAGTATATTTATGAAATCTAAACATCCAAAGGGAAGAAATGTGTACAGAAATGTTCAGTTTCCCTGTTAAAGTGAGGGGGGGGGGGCTCCTCCATTGCACTATTTGCCATCCATGTTTGTAATTGCTAGTTTACACTAAAATTTGTTAATTTATGGGGAAAGCGGAGTCACATAATGTACTGTTGCCCAGAGATAAATGTTTGGGAACAAGAAAGAAACTGAGCTTCAGATATCTAGATTTTTTTGTCTTTTGAGTTGATTTAAAAAAAACAAAAACGTTTAGTCCTTTATTTAGTAAGACAATTGGCAAGAAGCCAAAAAAATTCTATAATTTCTATATGCAATCATGATCTTGTAATCAGTTTTGCTAATATTTGCTAACTGAAAAAAAGAGAAAGTTAAATGAGATTTATGAAATGTGATTATGAAGCAATGCAATGAAATAGTGCCATGGGGGTTAGAATAGCATATTCCTTGACTGCTACTGGCAACTGATTTTCTCCTTGCTGCTTTGTATTCTTTGCAGCAAACACTTCTGCTGGTACAGATATATATTTTGTTTTAATTGGTGTTATGTTTTGGGTGCCTAAGGTAGCTAACAGAGTTGGAAGTTTGCCTAAGGAATTAAAATTCCTTAGTGGATATTTCTTTGGGGGGGGGGGAGCACACATTTGATAGCTTTCACAATGTTATGTTAATGCTCTATAAAATTATTTCAGCATTTAAAAGAAGCTAATACTAATAACGAGCTGTATTTTTCTGCAAGCAATGCATGTTATAGCATTCTCAAGAGAGTGGTAACAAGCTTAATAAAGACAGCTGTTTCATTACTTTCAAAGGCGTTTCGTGCTTCTATTCTTTCTAGTTTTACTGCTGAGAAATCTGAGTAAGCGCCTTTCATCATACACTCTGAATTTGTGAACTATTCACCATTTTGCTGAAAGGTTATCTAAACCATATTTATCTATTTGGAAGTTTATCATTTTGACATTAACCACATAAGGTGGAAAGCACTGGCCATATTAAAATCTCTTCTATTCAGTACTGAAGACACTTTAAATATTATAGTTGTCTCTCCACCAGCATTTTTGCCTTTTGTGGATTTCACTAGTCATGGTTTGATTAAAATTTTCACTCTAAGAATCTCCAAATCTTTAAGTGCAATTCTATTCTCAACTTCCTGCGGAAATTGACCACAGGATATTGCTAGAGGGCCTAGAAATTCCTCAACAGGTGTGCTCTCAGGTTTAAAAGAAATGGTGAATTTTAAAAAATTATATTGATGGAGAGTTAAATAATATGAACAGACAAGAATCAAAATAAAAGAGCAAAAAATACCCCCCTCCACACACACACACACTTTTGTGGGGTTCTATGTCCCTATCCCCAGTGAATGTGGCTGACTGTAGTGCTCAAAAAAGGGAAGCCACGTTGAAGGGAGATATTCATGTGTAAATCAAAGTATAAGTATTGCACTTTAAAGAGATAAAGAGTTCACATGTTCTTCTTAGAACTTAAATTCAGTATCAAAGCCTATATATGAGAAAAGCAAATGTAGCGATTATAATAGTAGTAATGATTAGTCAAAAGTGGACTAACTGTTTAATAATCAAGGGCCTCTTTTACTCTTCAAAAATCCCAAAGTTGATTTTGCAGTTGGATCAGATAGCCCTGAGTTTATAATTACAATACATGTTGTTTCTGCTTCAGTTTAATGCCATGGATATTCATAGTCATGGGCTATCACTTGGGGCTGAGTATGATTGTCTTCCAAGGGTAAAGTCTTGGCAGTGGCAAATGATCCAGCAGTGATTATGAGCTGACTGTATAATACTGTATAACACTTTCCTTAAGAAAAGGTAGTTGTGGGCTGTAAGGAGTACTAAGTAAAACTTTTCTCTATTTGAGTGGATTGATGTTCTCTTACTTTCTCCCTTCTTTTTCTATGTTTCTGTTCTTGTTATGTGTCTTCAAGATTTATGGTGAGCCTATCAAAGAGTTTGCTTAGGAAGCTTTATAGCAAGGAGGCTTGCTATTGCTTTGTTCTTAATCTGAGAGTGTTACATGCCCAGTTACCCAGTCGGTTTCCATGACTTACTGAAGTTTCCCTGGGACCATCTCTCAAATCACTGCCCCATGGTGGCTCAGTATTTTCTGTTCTGCCATATGGAAGCAAATAAATGATTTTGTTGTATTTCACTCTACATTATTTAGAGATAAGGGATAATGTTGCCAACCTTCCTCCCCCACACCAACACCAACAACTTAAACAGCCAATCTGCATTTTTTGCTCATGTTAATTTGATATTTAGGAAGGATCCCAACAGGTTCAAACTAATATAGCAACAAAGTGAACTGAAATGACTAACCTACATCATGTCAGATTGCAAAGTCATTTGAACTTTATTTCACTGGTGCAGATTATTTGACAGATAATTGGGAAACCAACATGGGTGAAAGAACTATCAACTGTAGGAGTCCTTACAACTTAAATTGGTGCAGTACGCTAGCAGTTGTCTTTTTTTAGTTTTATGCCATTATTGTTTAAGGTGGCATATTTAAATTGGCCAGGATTATCAACAGGATTCCAATCCTGATCTGATGTGAGAGCCTTATGTCACTTTCAGTATAATCCGGTAGAATTCTCCTTCTGTTTTAATCCATAATAACAGTATTCTTCTCAATAACATTTGAAATTATACCATTTTGGACTTCTGTCACCTCAGTAGATCATAAGGTTGAAAACTTGCATATATTTTGTAACCTATGTTTTCTGAGTTATTCCTTTAAAATTCGCTTGAGCTCTCAGATGGTAGCATGTAAACCCCTTTTCCATAGAATTATTTTGTACCTGGAACTACATCTAAGGTCACACACATTTTGGATGAATGGCCTTGAATACTGCTAGAGGTAAATTAATAGCCTGACCTGCTGTGAAAAATAATTCAGTTACATTGGAATTCAGTGATAGGAACCAACTAATTAAAATCAATTAAGTTACCACTCAAGTTGGACAATTTCTAACAAAAAGGGACAGCTTAATTAAATTTATTTCTAACTGAATTGATTGACTTAAGTTGGAATTGTAACATGAACTTTATTCCAGAATTAAATTATTAATTTAGTTATTAATTAATTAATTGAGCTAACATGCTAAAGAGCCATTGAATGTACTTCAGAACTGGTACTTTGCTCAAGTCCTTATTCTCCTATGAAAAACTACCTCCGGATTACAATTCAAATCATTTACTCAAGAATAGTTCCAGCAAGATGAATTGTCTTAAGGGTTTTGAGAACAGCAATTTATTTGTTTATCATGTCAGGGGCGACCAGACCATTGTATTACATTTCTAAAAGAACAAAACAAACAAACAGACAAAACACAAAATTTGCAAGCTTGGTAGTTGATTAAATGTCCTTTGACCAGTATCTGGCCACTTGGAGTGCCTCTGGTGTTGCCGCAAGGAGGTCCTCCATTGTGCATGTGGCAGGGCTCAGGTTGCATTGCAGCAGGTGGTCTGTAGTTTGCTCTTTTCCACACTAGCATGTCGTGGATTCCACTTTGTAGCCCCATTTCTTAAGATTGGCTCTGCATCTTCAGTAGCTGATCCTTCTCCACCCCATTTAAAATAGTAACAAAATATGTATTACTGAAACCAGTCATTTCCGGATATTTCTAAAATCTAGACAACTTAAAAAATTTTGGAAACTCTTCAAAGTCATTCAAAAGCTGCTCCCCGTCAGCACTGGGACATTCATTATTTTCTCAGCATCAATTTCCTAGAGTGCACCAGATGTCAATGAATATAAAATTCAGATTAGATTGATAGCATCTATAATCAACAGTCCTCAATAAAATAAAATAAACAGATCTTTCCCATGTATTACTGTGCTTTTACTCGTTCTTATTTGATTGCTTGTGATACTTTTGAATATGAATTTTGCATATATATTGAAATGGTGGATATTAAATCTTACATGCTTGCAATTGGAGGAGGAGGGAATACTCTGGGGATTTTGCACATTGTTACAAACCGTACACTGTATATATGTGTGCTGTGTTTCAATTTTGTATTTTCTAAATTCAATTCAATTTGTATTCTCAATGCTTTGGTAACTCTCTTGGTCCTGAAATGCTTGTGTGCTACAACTGTGAAGATCAATACTCTTGTTGGCTTACAGCGTAAAATGATCTGCTGAACACCCCCTTAGGCAAATCAAAAGCAAATTAAAGAGGAGGCCATTCTGGAAGAAGGTGTGGGATTATTGAACTGTTAATGATACGAACGTATGTGAAACTGAGAAACTGCAGTATTTTATGGTTGTACTTGGGGTTGTGTTTTTTTTTATATCGAAAATCCTTAACCAGGTGGAGAATAAGAGAGAAAAAAACATAATTAACAATGATAAATGCTGCTTTGCAACTGTTGCATTAGTTTTTAAGGCAAAAATTAGAACACTCTCTACATAGTTTGTGTAACATTTTGACCTTGCCAGTCCTTAGAAAGAAACTGGAAAATAATTCGGGATGAAGGGCTTGCTGTGATGGATAGAGGAAAGGGGCTCTTTCTGCCTGAAGATGAGAACTTGAGGGAGAAAGGTGACTGGAGCCAGTTCACTCTGTGGCAGCAAGGTACGAAAACACTGACCCTTTGTCATTTTGTATGCATGCTCCATTTTTTTAAAAAAAGAAAGCAATTGTGACTCTAATGTATAGGAGTTGGTTTTTGTGAAGTAAAAATATAGTTCAGCAAATCCAGAAAGCTGACTTCAGACCAGGGCCAGATCTACGTTTTGTGGGGTCTTTGGGCAAGATCTTCTCTGTGGGCTACTAAGCTTGTTAGATTCAGAATCTGTCCCATTTTGTTTGCTTGTTTTTTAAATCAGGGCAATTTCACACACATAATTATAGTGCTGGGATTCTACTTTAACTGTCATGGATGCAGTTAAAGTGGAACCACAGTGCCATAATTGTGTAGTGTGAAAGGGTCCTTGCTCAATTCATGATACCCCATCTTTCTACACTTAAGCCTATGGTAGCTTGACAAAGATATATACCGGTAATTGGCTGTATGTTGATTTGGATAAAGATTTCTTCCTTTCCCAAGGTATGGTATGTAAGTTTGACCTTGTGGATTGTTGTCTTTCACAATGTGCGACTGGAAGTTTTTGCTTGGTTACCCAGAAGGTATATTTTCTATGGGATCAATTCTGTCTGTCCAGAAATGCTTTTTAGGTCACATAATGCTCTAAGCAGGTTTTGGCCTAAACATTGCTAAAATGGGATACATCTTGAGAGTTTGATATAAGCCACTCAAAATATCCTGAAAGAAGAGGGTGAAAGGAAACTTATCTACTATATTAGCACATGGGCTCTGTTTTCAGTTCAGATACGAATAAAAGAGGCTCTGTATAGAGTTTGTGAAAATGATTGTGGACTGGTCCCAAATTAGTGGGACACTGAATCTGATTCAGGTTTCGGTTTAAATTTTAAAGGAGCTATCCAAGCTGTCAAACAATATACCCAAAATAGATATTTGAGGTCAAACTAAAACTGAACCATTGATACAGGAGCCAGAAAATTCCACTGGAGTTGCCTCCCTCTCCCTGTGGACCAGAAGAAAGCCTAGACTAAATGATCTTTGAGTTACTTCTGATTGTTTTGGTAACTTTGACATGACACTGTGAGCATTCTGGGGAAGCAAATTCACATACTTTATTTACTTGTGTATTAAATTTATAGACTGCTTTTTTTGCAAGGTGAGATCATACAGAATTCTTTTTGCTATTTGCAAAATGCATTTTTATGATTCTTCTTGTGCCTGTGTCTGTTTGAATACTCACAAAATGAATGATGAACCATTATAAACTGGCTGAGGGAAAAAATATTGGTAAAGAAAAGATATCTTCATGTCACAAACCAGCTGCAGTTCTGCCATTTGGAATTAATAGGAGGCAAAAGTATGCAAGCCAGAATGGACTACCAATGCCATCTAAGAACTGAATACTTTTAGGGCAGGACATCTAGAGTTGCTGTATTAAATAAAGAACATGAAAGCACTGGTCATGTTTAAAGGGTTTGTATTTTATAAAGTTGCTCCAAAATTAAAGTATTTGTACACTGTAAACTGTAACCATTTCATTAATGGGATACAATATCAAGTAAGATCTACAGTATTTAATATTTTCATACATTACATTACATTTATACATTTCTATTCATCAGCTTGTATAACATAGATTCGATTCAAAAAGAGGTTTGTAAAGCTAATTGTTTCCAAATCACTTAGAGGACTTTATGACTGAGACTTGAACTCAGATTTGTCCTAGCCCAGCAAATCAGTGCTACCAAAAATGGTGATTCCTAGACTACTTCAAGTGTACAATCCGCAGGGAATTGCCAGGAAAGAAATAAAAAGTTGCAGCCAATGGGCACAAATGTAGTAGCAGTCTCTGAGGATCAGTTTCTGGTGTCAGGTAGCCTGGAGAATAGTGCACCACACAACCTGCCAGTGGTGTTTTCTCCCCCAGTTAAAACAGTAACTGGTATCCTCGTCATCTGTCCTGATTAGATAGGGATAGTTCCAATAGATCCTTTGTTATCCAACTCCTTTTTAAAATTTGCTTTTTAAATGCCAATTTTTCTCTCGAATGCTTTTAATCCTCTGCTAATTTAAATTGCTGCAAACTGAATTTGAAGTGCAAATGTAGTTTGCGCTCATTTAGCGCAGCTATAGGGAAGAGAGAATAGAGCATGGGAACTTGCCATTCCCAGTCAGCCAAGGCAAAAGCAAATTCCTGCAGCCTCTCCTAGGTACTGTCTCCTTTCCCATTAATAATTTTTACAAACCTGGTGCTGGGCCATAGGTGTTCCAGTTTTCACCTGTGAAATATTGAAAGGTATATACAGAGGTGGTTGTAATTATTTTCATTGGAAAACAGAGAGGACTGAAGCTAAATAATGTGTTATTTGGAAACATATAATATAACACCTTACTTTATTTATAGGAGTTGGTTCTTACCCATACACATTTTTGTCCATTCCGTAAGGTACATGATTAATTTGGCTAACATTTTACATCTAGGCCCATCTGTATACCCTCATGACGGACAACCCTTGGTTTAGTCTCCTTGCATCTATGTAGTAAGACACTTTCTGGCTTATGCCAGGAGAAATGCAGGCTATAAAGCAAAACCAAAAATGTAAAGCCTTTTGCAAGATTTCAGAGACCTTTAGCAAGAAGAAGTAGTTACTTCTTCAGCAATCTACTAAACACAGAAGGAAAGAAAGAGAGAAAATGTACTATCTTTAGAAAGTTTGCCACTGTGATAGGGAACAAGTGTTGTACCACTGGACGACTGTTTGAGGTGCCAAAGGCAGATCTCCATGTGGCCTTTTGCACCCATGCTTAACACATCTGTCTTCCAATAAATCTTTCTGAGGCAGCATTTTCATATCTGCTAAATGATTGGAAAATTTTAAGACTGCTGTACATTTTGTATGTAGAATTCAAGTTCGGAATACTTTAATTTACTATCATCATGCTCTCCTTTTACCTAGGAAGGAAAAATGAAAAAGCTTGTAACAGCGTTCCCAAAACCTGTGCTTTATTAGAACGATTTCCAGAGGCCACTGGATGCAGAAGGGGGCAGGTATGAACTGGTATTCTCAGTCTCTCTTGTATGATTTTTAAGATTCACATTTGGATCAGAAAAATGGTAATACTGTAATAATCATGACCTATGGCTTGGATCTAGACTATCTGAAAGAGTATTTGTCTCATGTAAGTCTCTCCAGGTTTTGAGATCTTCCAGGAGAGATTTCTTTCAACCCCACCATCATCACAACTGAATTTTGAGGAGGCAGAAGACCTTCTCAGGCAACAGAATTCCCCCCATGAGAGGCTAGGATAGTATCTCTTATTGTCCTTCCACCAGGATGTGAATATTTATATTTAACAGATTTTGGCCACTAACTGCTTGCTGCAGAGGGGTTTGAATGCAAGGTGTTGCTATAGTTTTCAAAAATTTTATGTTTTTATTACCTTTAACCTTTTTAAAAATCAATGCTGTTTTTACTTTGTGTTATAATATTGTTTTTTAAAAAAAATTTCGTTATTTTGTCTTTCAATGTTAGTATTGATTTAATCTGTGTTATGTTTTAATCTATGGTATAGGTTGCACTGGGTCTCTCATTGGGAAAAAGGCAGGTGGAAATAAAATAAGATATATAGAAAGAGGAATGTGCCAAAAATGATAAAGGTTGTTATACAGGTTGTCAAAATGAATCATAATTGATATTATTTTATAAAAGGTGAGCAGTTCAACAGATATAGTTGAAGAGAAAAATGCTGATATAATTCCATTTTTTCTCTACTGGGAGTTTATAAATTGGGTCAGAATAGGATTTGCCACAGAAATGTGAAATAGCAATATCAGGTTTTATATGCAGTCCATGATGCAGCTTTATGTTTTGTTGAACTGTACAGTGTGGTGGTGAGAATGCTTGAAGTACTAAAAGAGAATCCTCAATACAACAGTGAGACGTCTTCCCAAGCTGGACAGTTCCTTTTAGCTGTTCAGAATGGTGAATTTATAGTTGCCAGACACATCCTAAGAAAGCTTCTGCCGACATTCCTTCAGCCTAGCAAAACATTACAAAGAGTAGATATGGACATTTCTACAATAGTCTGCAATATGTCAACAGTCTCTTTTTAAAAAGCCAAGGAGGTGCGGACAGAATTTGTGAAAGAATTTCAGGAGATTTTTGACACAGCAAGACCAGTGGTGGAAGTGTTATTGTTCCACACACCTGTTCAAGGTAGACTTATAAAAACAACATCTAGGCAACACCAATGGAATATTATAGGCTAAATCTGTAGTTTTTCTACACTTTTTCAGGACTTTTTCTGCAGTTAGCTTCAAGAAAGGTTTAAAAGGTACAGGAAAGTAACCAGGGACTGCAAGTGTTCCTCCCTATTAATTATGGCCATTGTTCAACTTGGACAAGTGCACAGCACTTTACAATGAATGCCTTCAAGATACTGACACACTGATGGAAGAGTTTTATCTGTGGTGCAGAAAATGGAAAACGATTGCACCTACAGAAAAATCATCAAATGCACTGGAAGCATATTTTGTCTGTGACAGACAGGGTTTTTTTTTTCCAAATGTGAAGAAACTTCTTCAGATTTATGCAACATTGCCAGTGTCAACAAATACAAATGAAAGGTTGTTTTCTTACACATTTTTCATTTTACAGTCAGTCACTTTTATTTTTTAAAGAAAATTCAGGAATAACGTGTGGACATTCTGGTCTCGTTAGGGTTGGAGAGTTCAAATCCTTTTTTTTAGTAAGCCTGTTAATGAGCCCAAGGGTCGAAAAGTACAGCTGGAATTCTAATGTAAGAAGGGATGGCAATGTTAGGTTTTCATTTTGGATTGAGCTGAACATGGTCCTTTATTCTAGAGTAACTGTACTTCTCTCTGCAGATCAAATATTCTGTCATGCATCCTGGGACACATGTCTGGCCTCACACAGGACCTACTAATTGTCGGTTGAGGATGCATTTAGGCTTGGTGATTCCCAAAGAAGGCTGCAGGATCCGCTGCGCACAAGAAACAAGGTATTTTTTTTTTGCATCTGTGTTCCAAGTGTATCACACTGGGAAGCAAATATATTAAGAGCTGGTATAGAAGCCAAAGCACAAACTCCAAAGCAGTTATATTACTTTTTAAAAAAATATACTTTATTAAGATTTTCTTCAAAATACACAAATATCATAAAAATCATCATAGATGATGGTAGAAAGTAAGAAGATGAGAAAAGAGAGTGAAGAAAAAGATAAGGAAAGGGGGGGAAAAGGGAAAAAATGAAAAAAAATTAAAAAATTGACCTCCTGGTATCTTCCGAAAGTCTTCCGTGTGAACTCATTTTTTCATTTCCTCATTACTATAGTTCTTTGTTTTCTTCCTTCCCACTTTTTATCGCGTTACAGTCTTCATTTGTCCTTCTCAAGGCACTATTTCTTTTTTCTTCTTTCTTAAATATTCAGTGACCTCTCTCCAGTCTGTTTCTTTTCTTCTAATTTCTTTGTTTTTCAACAGTAGGAAGGTAAGCTTATCTAGGTTTCTAATATCTAGCATTTTTATTATCCAGTCGTCCTCTTTTGGTATCTCTTCTTGTCTCCATTTTCTGGCGTAGCACATTCTCGCAGCCGTTAGTGCTAAGAATAAGATTTTGTCTTTGTCCTTTTCCAAGTTTTTGTCATAAATTCCTAACAGAAATAGATCTGCTTTCAGCAGTTATATTACCTAGGAGAGTGGGAATAGGTCATGGCTGTTGTGTTGGCAATACCCGGTGCGTGCCCTCCCTCCTCCCCTCATCACATGGTGGGGTTGAGAGAGTGTGCTTTGCACCTTTTCCCTCCCCCCATCAGAGGACAGAAAGGGCACACCACTTTGGAACATTAATGAAGGGATATTACTATGGAAGAATATTTGTTTTCTCTTTTAGCAGGGAGACAACTGCCATAAGCATTCATCTTCACATGGGAGGATGAAATAGTCAAGGACTGACATCCCTCGTTGGAGTGGGTTGCTCAGAGACCTGATAATGAGATGAAGAGTTTACCCTACACCCCATGACTGTTATCTGTTTAGAGTTGATGATGAATGGAAGCTAGTATCATTTAGACAGCTGTTTTGATCACTTGTGCGGTCATGTCATATTAGTTCAAAGTGATCAGATGTTTACCACTCTCGATCAATTTTGAATTGAGCTTAATCTGAGTTGAAACCTTGTGGTATGTGCAATACTGGTGATGACTTGATTGTCATTTAAAATGCTCCTAACATTCTCTTAAATGGAGAACAAATGAGATCTTTGCTGGTGGACAAGAACACTGAGGGGCTGTCTACATGGTTAAAAAAACTCGAACTCATCCCATATCTGGTGCTGGCATAACACATAACTTCCTTGAGGGTTCAAGTCTGATTCAGTTGTTTTTCACCCCTGAGTGCTTAAATCCAAGTTCAAAATATACACATTTCCCCCCAGAGTTTTCTGGACCTGGGTTATTTCCCATGCCCTTGTGGTCTGAGGTGAATTTATTGCTGAGCTGGGGTATGGGAGTTTGAGTGGGTAAGTGGCACACATAGATAGGAGGTCCTCTGATTGGTTTTGCAAACGTTCAATAGCCTTAATTCTTTTGAAGGTTTATTTATGCAAGATAATTATATAATTGTGCAAATAATTGCTATTACCTCTATCAGGATCTAAAAATATAAACACACACACACACACACTAGCTGTCCCCTGCCATGCATTGCTGTGGCCCAGTCTGGTGATCTGGAAAATAAAGTAATGAGAAAATGTTGGTTTCTAATATATGTAATGTCTTTATGTTTGTGGGTAAACAGTACTTCTTGTTGTTTCTTTGTCAGTGTTGATAGCAGACCTGCTACGGCCATGTGACCAGAAATAATGCAAAATATATCACATGTGATCATAACAGGACTGTCCTTTAACACCAAAATGGGCTCACATAGAGGAAACATTTGGCTGGTAATGCTGCTTTCATTTGAATAAGGAGGCATGTGGTGTCAACATGATCACTATGAGCAGAAAAATGCAAATTGAAGCAGGTTGTTTTCACTTTTGTAAACACCTGAAATCAGCTTTTGGTACCCAAGCTGCTGTTTCACTGAAGCAAGCTTTAATCTGATGGGGTTTTTTTTTTAATGAGTTTAAATAACACTGGGGTTTTTTTTTAATCTGTGTTCTTCTGTCTTATTACTAGTCATCACCCTGAGCATTAAACAGACATAAAACTAATTTATTAGGAATATAGAGCAGATTACAGGATCACATCACATTCATCCTCTGCCTATTTTCTCCTTTATAGAACACAAATTTTTTTTTATAGGCCAAACCATGGCAACACCCAATAGACAGTGGTATGAATTACTCTTAAGGCTAACCAGGCTTATAGCTGCAGAATCTAGATTAAGCAGGAACATAACCAGTCCTAATTACACTGAAAGTAGCTGCTGTTACAATGGTTGCTGCAAACTCTGCCTGGTCAATTGTCACTGTACAAGAGCAGGGATGACAGGAGGGAGCACAAAAGCCCTGCAGCTACTCCTGATTGTTTTAATAATTGGCAGTATTACACTGGCCCAAGAATGAATGAGCAATTATCTCTCTCCTACTAGTAATTTTGTACTGCTGTGTATGCAAAGGACTACTGCTAGAAAACAGAAAATATATAATAGTCAGCACAAGACCTTTCATAAATTCCTAAATTAAGTATGATGCATTGTTAAAGATCTACTCATCTTTCTGTTTATGAATTTGCAATTTGTTCAATTTTAACAGCTTTAAGAAATTTGTTAGGTATTGGGCTGTTCATTTTTAATAAACTTCCATCCATCATGAACTCCCTTATCTATTAGTATTCCTAACCATGGGATCGCACCCAACATTTCTCTCAGTTTATCTTGAAGACCTGGCTGTTCCGGTGTGCCTTACCAGAATAGGAAACCCTAGCATTATGTCCCAGATGCACTTTATCAGAGATTTAAGATTATCTGCACATTGCACTCACCCTAAATCGTATATTTCACCTGTCATACTCAGCACTTTTAATCTGTACCCATTACATTTGGCCCGGCCCTAGTTTTATTGTGTTATGATGTATTGTTTTTGTTTACTGTCTTGCTTAATGCTAGCGGGGTACAAATAAAGATAATAATAATAATAATAATAATAATAATAATAATAATAATACAATGCTTTTACATTTTTAACACGGACTTCAGTGTCTAGAGAGATACTTTATTGAAATATTGGTCTGTGCTACTAACATTTTGTGATGTTGCACATTTTAATGGAGCAATGCAATGGGCTCCACTATGCCATATGGCAATCAATTTTACTAGTTTGAATAACTGTCATTTATCCTTGATGGTTATTGTACTGCACTAGTATATCATACTATACTACATTATTTTAGTCTCTGTATTTGGGTGAGTCTACTTCATAGAATTAATGCAGTTTGACAGCACTTTAACTGTCATAGCTGAATCCTATTGAATCCTAGGAGCTTCAGTTTTAAAATTTCTAAAAGTTTTGTAGCCTTCTCTGCCACACACTAAACTGCAGTTCCCAGGAGTCCATAGCATCAAGTCATGCAGTTAAAGTGGCGTCAATTTGCATTAATTCAACAATGTAGATGTACCCATAGTCACAATATTGGTCAAAACATGGATTTATTTGAAAGTAGGCGAATTTTAAGGCAAGGTAGCAGAAAACTTGCGCTTTCAGAAGTTTTAAGCTTCATTTCCGGGCAACTTCAATAATCATAACTCGTGATCAGGAATTATGGAAATTCCAGGCTGAAACATTTGGATGACCAAAGATTCCCTAACCCTAAGGTAATGTGTCTTAAATGGAGTGCAGGATCTTTCCTATTAATTCCTTGAAAACTTTCCTTTAATTGCCTCTTTTGTTTTATTGCTCTCTCCAGAATTTCCTTCTGTTGTTTAAATCTCGATGCTAATGAGATGTCCAAGGTTGTCTGCAGTATTTAAAGCTCAGTTTTGTTCTCATCAGAGATTAATTGTAGAGAGACTATGTTTCTGCATCTAACCATTGCTGTAGAATTAGGACAAGCACTAAGACAAGATGAGCAATTGCTGCACTTGCTAATTGATTGGTGCTTTAGTGAAGTAATCCGTGAATTGGGAATTGAGGGTAGAGATGGAAGTATCGCAACCTAACTTTAAAAGTAGCTGCTAACAATGCCAATTTTTGGAGGACTGCCCAGATGCTGGGGAACACCTCAGTCCTTCCTAGCAAAACCAATGGTAAGAAAATATAGGAGGTGCACTACAACAGCATTGGGAGGGACATACTTTACTGGCTTTCCAGTAAAGCATTTATGGAAATCTGCAGCCTGAGCCCCAATGTAGATCCAGAGAAAATTATTTCTCTCTCCCTATGATCCATTGCCTTTGCTCAAGCAGCCAGGGGAGACAGCTTTAGGTAGTGAACCATACAACACAAACATACATTTACTGAAATAGTCACAACTTTATTGGTTACAGCTGTGAGAACCGTGAACAATGGATTCACTACTACGCACAATTCAAAGTGCTGGCTTTAGCCTATAAAGCCCTAAACGGTTCTGGTCCAACTTACCTGTCCGAACATATCGAGCATTAAAATCTGCCAGGGAAGCCCTGTTCTCGGTCCCACACTTTTCCCAAGGCCGATTGGTGGGGACGAGGGACAGGGCCTTCTCAGTGGTGGCCCCTCGAGTATTGTACTCCATCCCCATTGTTATTAGATTGGCCCCCTCCCTCCGTGTCTTTAGAAAAAAAATTAAGACCTGGCTCTGGGATCAGGCATTCAGGAATAGCGCAACACAGAATTTATATGTAGCAACATGAAGGACGTGAAGGACCAACACAGTTTTAGAAATATGGTTTTAACAATTTTTAACAGTTTATGTATTCATATTTTTGTTGATTTTTAATGTGCTGTATTTTATATACTCTGTATTGCAATGTGGCACTGAAGTGGCCAATCTGTAAGCCGCTTTGAGTCCCAATTTATGCATTGGCCAATCCATTTGCCAAATAATGACCCCATGCCTTAGCTTACCACTAGGAAATGTGCGATGGCATCAACTGCTCAGACCTTGCTAGTTAGTTACTTTTTTGATGCAACACTATGTTTGCAATCATATAAGGCTGAAATATTCAGAATTTTACACTAAATGTAATTGTAGGAAGCTTTGATGCAGGAATAGTGGACTGTCATAGCACGAGTAATATAACAAGTTCATTATAAAGATGATTGTCCGGTAAATATTTTCATGGAAGCAGAAGACTGTTTTTTTTAATGATTCCATGGGCCTTCAAGGTTTAATTTAATGCTGTTGAGGCCAGTGACATTGTTTAAGTATTAGAAACAATTTATTCTTATCATCCAGGAGGCAGTATAATTTTTCTACTTCATTCTTCTTATGAAAAGTGCCAAAGGACTTTCTTAAAATAAGAGAAAAGTCTGTGAAATGTTATGATACACCCTCATTTTACTTGAGCAAAACATGTTGCTTATCAGCTTTATACTTCAGAACGAAAATGACGGTATAGTTTAAGAACTGTCTTGTTGACTTCATTGAGCTGGATTAAAAGAAGGAAGGAGAGGATTTATAATAGCAATGCTAATAACCAGTCTGAAACACAATAGCTCTAGAATGAAAGATAAAGGAACTGAATATATTGGGGGAAGGGAGAGATATTCAGCCTTATATTAGTCCCAGAAATACATTACCTGAAGCCCAGTAACAAATTAACCTGTATTTTGCAACAGCTGAAAATGGAGATTTATTCTCATTCCATTTTTCCTACTGCAGATAGAAGATTTATTAATATTCTATCTATAGAACATTCACTAATGGACAGATCATGTTAATTGAACTGCCTTTTTTGGCTGTGATTTTCTTTTCTTCTGTTTATATGTACTAATTCTTTAACACAGTGGTTCTCAACTGGTGGGTCCCCAGGTGTTTTGGCCTACAACTCCCAAAAATGCCATCCAGTTTACCATCTATTAGGATTTCTTGGAGTTGAAGGCCAAAACATCTGGGGACCCACAGGTTGAAAACCACTACTTTAACAGGTTACATTCTTATTTAGTAACAATTTATTTTCCACAATCTTTGTCAAACTAGGATATTGTGCCTTTAGTCTGCATAACAACAGTGATTACCCTACTTAATGGATTCTAAGGTGCACTTTTCCCCAAAAAATTGAGCTTCAAAAAATGTGTCTCATAGGAGCTTATCCCACAAGACAACCCTCCCTCCCCCAATGTTTTAACCATTGTAATCATTTTTGAATGGAAAGAGATGGAGCCCATCCCACAATGCAGGGGATTTCCTGCCTGTGCCCATTAGGATTTGTCATGTCATTGTTAAAAACAGTGTCCAAAAAAAAAAAAAAAAAAAGGAGGGGGGAAGAAGATTATCAGAAATCGTCTCAGGAGCCTAGGATGCATGACATTCCATTTCTAAACTGCAAAAAGCATGTGGGATGGGAGCCATCAGAATCAATATGATAACATTGGCAAATAGGCTGTCTTTTTGGTGGTCTCCTAACTTCCAGTGAGTCCCCGGTATTCTGCTGTAATGCGGCTGCTCGGTCCACTTAGGTAATTTTTATATATAATTAAAAATAAGAAATATTGTGATGAGGGGATGATGAGACAAGGAGAAGCTCTGTGTGAGAGAGCATTAGGCGGTGGCTCGTAATTGCCCATGCCACTGCCACCTCCATTCCTGATGGCACTAGTAGCCAGAGTGAGAGGGAAAGAAGCCAGATCCCAGATCTGGAATCCAGGCTCTCAAGCTTGCTTCTCTCTTTCTTTCTCTGTCTGTGCTGCTTGTACCATTGAAAGTGAATCAGCAGTGACGAGGTGATGGGGAGACGGGAGGAAGCTCTGAGTTCTTAGGGTAGGACTGGTATCTTCCTCACTCTTTCCTTGGTGGAATGCATTGTTGCTCCAAACTGAAACCAGAGGTGCTATGATGTCACTCACTTCCAGATTAATTTTCAGTCCATTTGAAGCTATGTTTTTCCTACTTTCAGGGGTATGAACCAGAATTATTGCATATACTGTGTTCCCTGGGCCATGTGTTCTTCACTCCAGCCTTAAAAGCAGCAAATAAAAATGACCTATTTTGTCTTTCAGGTTTTGGGAAGAAGGGAAGGTTGTCATCTTTGATGATTCCTTTGAACATGAAGTGTGGCAGGATGCGCAATCATATCGCCTGATATTCATTGTAGATGTCTGGCATCCAGAGTTAACACCACAACAGCGGCTCACCCTTCCAGCCATTTAAGTGTGATGCTTTCCTTCTTTGAGATCCATATTTCTTGCTGGTAAAACAAAAGTGAAACTGAACTGGATGAAGAAATCTCTTTATAGACTTTGAAACTTCCTGTTCTATGTATTATGCCAATGCCATTACAGCACTGATCTTTATAGTTTTGTATTCATGCTACAAGTACAGATGCCTATATTTTATCAGCCAAAGAATGTCTTGTTCCATGCTTCAGACTATGACATATGCCAGGGCCAGTATTTTGTTATGCCTGTGTTTTGAGTACCACTGTTAGACATACCTTTGGTACTCTAGTCATCTGGATGCTAAACTAAAGGCTTGCATAAAGATACCAATCTTCTGACAAAGAGGGGTTGTGGAGCGGCAATGTTCAGTGGATTGTGATATATCTGTCCTTGTAAGCCCACCTATATTTCAGCCAGGCAAGGAGGAAATGTTTAGTAAAGTCTTTAGATTTAAATCTGTGGATTTACAGTGCGAGCTATAGAAAGTATGAGTAAATGGTTTTATATTGTGTGCGGGTTTTTTAATAGAAATAATTGTATTTTTCTACCACATATGTATAGATATCCGTTTTGCTCTTTATGAACCACTTTTGTATGTTTCTTTGAATTTATTTTGTAAAAACAGTGTTAACAAGAAGCCTTCACTAGGAGCTGTACAATATACTGAGTATGTGTTTTTCCTTCTAATTGGGATGATGAATACCAATTTCCTTTCTTCAGTCTTGGTTAAGAATGTTTATAACAGCATTAGTATCTGTGTTTACCCCTAACACAAAGTACTTGGAGCCATACCAAGAGGCATTGAGACTTTCAATAATATGTACATTTTGCCTTCAAGTTTCCTATACAGTAAAAAGCTTATAATTTCAACAGGAATCACACAAACTCTGATTAATGGGCTGTTTGTTCTGTGATGAAATCAATTTTGGAGCCATTCTTCTTCTGGGTTATGATAGCATTTTTATTCTATACTTAACTGTGATCAGTTTTGTGTTTTACATTAATGTTTGTATTGTGCTGGGATTTATCCTGCTTGTGTGAAGTGGCAATCGCATTATTACGGTGTGGAGCTATTTAAAGCAACAGAGAAAAAGCAACTTTCATATTTTCATTTTCATATTCACCAACAGGGAATAACCTCCTCTGATGCCTTTGTAGTCAGTCAGGAAGTGCCAGACTTTGCCTGCAAACAGCTCAGAGCTCAGAAAAGTTACTTTGGAAACTATACCTCTCTGGATTCCCTAGGCAGCATGTCCAAGTGGTTCTGGGAGTTTTGAAACCAAAAAGTAAGGTTTCCAAATTTGACACATGCTTTGTGGTATGAAATCCACCAGAACTTTTAGTTTCTGCTTAGGGGCAGTAGAATCCAAACAATTTTTGAAAGGTTAGAATATTCAGAAAATAGGTACTAAATAGGTACTAGATGAGAAGGAAATAGGTACTAAATACATACTAGATATGAAGGAAATGTTTAGTACTGGTTTTTGTCACAATTGAAAAACCACGGGCTACATTTTCCTTTAACATTAATTGGCTCAATATTATTTCATCTGAGTTTTGCCTGAAAACAGGTAGCAGAGGTATGTGACTGGCAAACAGAATAAAGCAAACAACACTAAAGGTGCTCCTACCAGTAGATTGTTGCCCATTATGTGCAGTTGGATATTATGCATTAAAATCAAGTGCCTTCAGTGTAGCATTGTGGATTTTATATCTTTATGTTAACAGCTTCAACACTACAATTGCTGCTACATTTTTCACTGGAAGCAAGGAATCAAAGTGCTTGTTTCCGTGAGCTGTGGCTGCTGGGATAACCAAGCCTTACATAAAAGCCTTGCAGAACTGCTTACAAATATGTACTCTGTGTATATGACTCAACCTCGATCTTTCTTTGTAATTCTGTTACAGCTCTGTGTGAAAATGCTAATGGCAGAGACAATTTTTAAAGGAATCTTGCCCAGGAAAGCTTTCTGGTTTTGCTCAGGTCTCTTGGGATATAGAACAATCCACACACAGGCCTATTTATCACTTCATTTTAAGGTTTATTACTTGACTTGAAATTGCTAATTTGGATGTCAACTGGCATTTTCCAATAACATTTTTTAATTGTTATGAAAATAAATTACACAGACCTTTAGCTAAGATTTTAATACTCATTTCAACCTTTCTCAAGATTTACAATGCATTTGGTCATCATTTCAAGAGGGTATAAAGTCCATGGTAGTAGAAGTGAGAGTTTAAGCCAGCACACTTTTTCCTATGACAAATACATTAGTAAAAACTCCGTTTCTTTTCTTTTATGAATTATCGTCAGCTTTAATTTATAACCCCTATGACAAAGGGTTAGCAAATAAAGCAGCATAAGCAATAATGCAGAATAAGTAATACAACTGGAGATCCTGTATTTCACCGAGAAAAGACAAAGGCTTGGCTTACGTGTTACTGGTTTTATAGAACTTCATTTATACATGAGAGACTAAGTTCAATATTTATTTGGCCATCAGGAACAATAGAAACTATAGCTAAATTATCTCTGCAGCAGCTCTATACAAGCAACATCCTTAGCTCTAAACATTAGATTTGAACAGTTCCTGAAAGATATTCCACAAAGAAAGGATGACATTAACACATCATGGTTTGATTCATTACAAATGGGTATGGCGAAATGAATGCTTTTGCTTCTGAGTATGACCTACAAGTCACATAGCCATCCTTAAGAAAATTAACTGCTTTCTGTTTATGGCTTAAATGTACGGTTTGATTAAGGTTTGGTAAATGGCTGTTACTTACAGCTGTCAAATGTGAGTAACACATCCCCGGCTAGTTGAGAATGCAACTAACATGTTTCCAGCTATTTGAGAAAATAAAGCCACAGCAAAAGCCATTTGATTACAGTGGAATCTTCTTTTATTATTATTTTTACCTGTTTTCATTTCAGTGTAGGCATGGGTGTTGTTGTTTCTGCAAATAGAGCAAAGGAATGGCAAACTGATCTTTGGCATTTCAGTTCTACACTTTTTCCCCCTTTTCTTTTCCCACAGTTCATTCTAATGGAGGCATATTGAATAATTCATTGCGAGTTTTCCCTTTCCATTATAAGCATGGCCTGTATCTGCAGTCAGCCAAGCCCTCTGGCTATACCTTTAGCTGATTGCAGGAGAGAAGGTGGTTAAACAGCTCTGCTGAGCTTTCATTTGTTGAAGTGACCTAAATGAAAGAACCTGGAGTGGAACATTAATCACCAATAGTATTTCCATTGAGCTCTAATGCCTCCTTTTTGCCTTTACTGCCACTACCACATCTATTCTACCCAGTGCTGTTGTCTGTAGGGTGCATGAAGTAGAGAACAATCCATATTGTTAAACTTAAACAATTGATTTCCAAATTACCTGTGTCTGCATCCCAGTTTTCTCATCACATTGAGCAGACAGGTTATAAGGGCTTCCAAAAGTTAAGAATGGTCCCATTCCCCTGGACCAAAATAAGTGATCCCTGGAAAGAGTTCAGGTGATAAGATCACATACTGGAGAGCTGAACAAATTTCTGCTGGTGATTGCTTAGCATTGTTTATTTATTTATGTAAAAGGGAAATGCTGGGAAGTACAGAAAATGGAGGAATCTGCAATAAATCCTTCCCCAATCAGGTGCGCTCCAGATATGTTGCAACTGATCGCCCATGGCCACTATCGATGTGCTGCAAAATGAGTTACGCCTGTTGTTACAATAATACATTCAAGATGCCTTCTATTTCATTTCCCTCTCTTTCCTACACTCTGAGATTTTGACAATCCCTGCTTAAGCAATACTGGAAAACCTCAACTGATGCATCTTGAGTATGTGATCACAGAAAGTAGCCTCCCCTAAGCGGCAACCATTCTTAATACTCATATGTCATGAAAGAAAGGGGGAAGGGTAAACTTATATTTTACAATCAAACTCTTTAGCTTAAAACTCTGGGCCATGAGGAATCTCCTCTTTGGTTTTGGCCACATCAACATATGGCTGGTGATGATCTGTACTTGCTCTGCAAAGATGGAGAGCTTGGCTTTCAAGCTGAATGTGTGTTGATGTGTATTAAACCTGTCTTTTGCTTCATGGGTTTTTTTGCACCATGAAAGTCTGATAATGCATTTGTGTTTCACGATGAATTCAGACTCAGTCCAGAGCCAGGAGTGGCTGGGTATTCTCATTCTCATGCTGTTCCTCATGTTTCAGCGTTCCAGGTTCCACCACTGACTGAGACCTGAAAGAAAACATAGGTGTTAACATTGCTTTCGCATTAAGAAATGCACTTCCTTCCATGTATTTTTGAAAAGGTGAAACTAGACCTTATTTAAAAGCTTTCACAGAACTAAGAGTGTGATTCTGATTCAACTCAGCCTATAATATGGTAAGTTGGAATGATTTAACTGCATCAAATTCTTAATCCAGTTTTGGGAAGGGGTGGAATATTTTATTTGATATGAAAGAAATCAACAGTCTTGTAGCACTTACAACAGCAGTAGAGTTATTGATGTATTTGTTTTTGTATATTAATTTCAATCTCGTGAAAGCAAATGTTGTAATAAGTGTTTCTCAACCTGGAGGGTTGGGACCCCTGAGGGGGGTCACGAGGAGATGTCAGAGGGGTTGCCAAAGACCATCAGAAAACACAGTATTTTCTGTTGGTCATGGGGGTTCTGTGTAGGAAGTTTGGACCAATTCTATTGTTGGTGGGGTTCAGAATGCTCTTTGATTGTAGGTGAACTATAAACCCCTGCAATTACAATTCCCAAATGTCAAGCTCCATTTTCCCCAAACTTCACCAATGTTCACATTTGGGCATATTGAGTATTTGTGCCAAGTTTTGTCCAGATTCATAATTCTTTAAGTGCTCTCTGGATGTAGGTGAACTACAACTAAACTCAAGGTCAATGCCCACCAAACCCTTGCAGTACTTTCTGTTGATCATGGGAGTTCTGTGTGCCAAGTTTGGTTCAATTCCATTGTTGGAGGAGTTCAGAATGCTCTAAAATTTTAGATTAACTATAAATCACAGCAAATACAACTCCCAAATGACAAAATCAATACCTCCCTCACCTCCACCAGTATTCAAATTTGGGCGTATCTGATATTTGTGTCAAATTTCATCCAGTGAATGAAAATACATCCTGCATATCAGATATTTTCATTACAATTCATAACAATAGAAAAAATGTAGTTATGAAGTAGCAATGAAAATAATGTTATGGTTGGGGGTCACCACAACATGAGGAACTGTATTAAGGGGTCGTGGCATTAGGAAGGTTGAGAACCACTGCTGTAATATCTGCTCATCTTTAAGATGCTAATAAACTATTCATTGTTTACTGCAAAAAAGTGAAACTCAGAAAAGTTACTTCTTTGGTTTATACACTGGTTTATAGTTATAAAAGTATGATTGTATTTTAACTGTCATTACAGTGTCATATTAAATCCTTGTGTTCATAGTCAGCTGAGACACTTGAGCACTTTTGCAGAGACTTAAGTACCTTTTCTAAATTGCAACTCTCAGGACTCCATAGGATATTGCCATGGCAATTAAAGTGGCAATATAGGTATACAGGAATTATGTCATGTGAAAGGGCCTATAGCCACAGAAGTACTTCCCCCAAGTTCTACAACTAACTCATCTGAAAATTATTTTCTATGATTTTGTCCTATTTCATCATAATTTCTGTTTTGAGCATTCTGTGGGCTCTACTTGATTGTATCCGTAAAGCATTGTGGCATAAGCACTCCCTTCATCATCCTATGTGGGTACTTCTAGAATCTACAGACTTGACATGTTATGGTTATGTTTTCATAACACAGTTGAAATATTGACCTATCTTGAGGTATCATAAAGGAAAATATGCATTTTTGTGATTGATGGGTACCGATGTATATAAGAGTTTTAAACATCTATCATGCCACCCGCACACAATTTAAATTTGTTTTCCTCTTTTTTCCAAAGCCTCCAAACTGCTTTCTAAACTTCTCTTCCATTCAAATGGGGTCTAGAAATTTGGTTTATAAGTTTTCTAAAGGAAAAGTCCATCGGAACACATACATTATTTCACCCTCCATTTGAAACATTTGAAGCAGTCTGAGTCACCTAAGGAAAACTAATGTTGAATTATGGTTAAACCTGAATACTGTAATATTTTATACTTACTGCTTTAGGTTTCAGGTAATTTTTGAAGCAATAACTGAACACTGTGTTCCAAATCTATTGTGGGATTTACCACTCATATCAGAGTTAATATTAGGTAGTGATTCATTCATGTTGAATGCCCCCAAAGCATTAGCTAGACTTAAAAAGTACAAATTATATTCCTCATAAAAATCACCAGCAGTTGCTTTAAAGCACTGCAGTGCAAAAATAGGCAAGCAAAAGCAGAACATTGATTTGGAAGAATGTTATCTCCTTGAAAATACTAATCTAAAAAGGTTTGGGATTAGCAAACACATTTTAACTGGTTGCAATCGCCACTGTTTTCTTCTGAAGGCAAATACAACATTCAATAGGAGAAATAGAAAGGATCTTATCTTTTTGGGAGATTCTGTCCTTGAAAGTAAGCCTGAAACACTATGTGTGCCAACATGTGCCCTCAGCCAGATTTTCGTAGTACCTAATAATTCAGTGTTTCTCAACCTGGGGGTTGGGACCCCTGGGTGGGTAGCGAGGGGGTTTCAGAGGGGCCACCAAAGACCATCAGAAAACATATTTCTGATGGTCTTAGGAACCCCTTTGGCAGAGAAAGCTGAAAATCTCTCCACCTGTCCTTCTTTTCATTTTTCGAACCAGATGGTGAATCTTCCCACCAAAAGCCCTCTTCTGCTGTGATTGGCTGGCTTCTCAACCGGCCCTCAGCCAAGGGGAGGGCTGTTTCTGATACTCCAAGTGGGGAGGGGAGAGCAGGTGTACTCAGCACATGGCAGCGTGGTGTGCAGGGGAGGGAGACTGTGTGAGGCGGGAGGAGGGAGTCCCTTCAAGGCATGAGGGTTCTGTGTGGGAAGTTTGGCCCAATTCTATAGTTGGTTCAGAATTATCATTCAGAATTCTCTTTGATTGTAGGTGAACTATAAATTCCAGCAACTACAACTCCCAAATGTCAAGGTATGTTTTCCCCAGACTCCACCAGTGTTCACATTTGGGCATATTGAGTATCCCTGCCAAGTTTGCTCCAGATCCATCATTGTTTGAGTCTACAGTGCTTTCTGGATGTAGGTGAACTACAACTCCAAAACTCAAGGTAAATGCCCACCAAACCCTTGCAGTATTTTCTGTTGGTCATGGGAGTTCTGTATGCCAAGACTGGCTCAATACCATCATTGGTGAAGTTCAGAATGCTCTTTGATTGTAGGTGAACTATAAATTCCAGCAAGTACAACTCCCAAATGACAAAAGCAATCCCCCTCCCCAAATTTGGGCCAAATTTGACCCAGTGAATGAAAATACATTCTGCATATCAGATATTTACATTATGATTCATAACAGTAGCTAAATTACAGTTATGAAGTAGCAACGAAAATAATTTTGCTGTTGTTAACCGCTTTGAGTCACCTGAGGGCTGAGAAAAGCGGTATATAAATGAAGTACATAAACAAACAAACAAACAAATAAATAAATGGTTAGGGGTCACCACAACATGAGGAACTGTATTATTGGGCCGCAGTATTAGGAAGGCTGAGAAACACTGCAATATTTGCTTCTGCTGCCATTCTCTTTTCCGCTTGCTCGCTCTTCCCCCTTCTCTACTTCTCTTTCTCCCTCTCCCTTTTTCAAAAGTAATGAAGAATCAAGCTTCTAAAAATAACTGGGAAGCACAATTCTCTTTTTTTAAAAGGCAAATTGTTACTGTGCTCCTTATTTCAAAAACAGCACTTTTCTGTGTTTAGAAAAATTGACATTTTCGGTGATTTTTTAAAAAACCAACTTTTTGTGGTTGGAGATGAATTTTGTCAGATCACGGAAGTGTTCTGAAACAGGTAGCCACCTTATTAAAGTTTCCCACCTGCAGTACCATACAACATGCAATGGTTAAAGGCCATATTTAGCTTCTCTGAAACCAGTTTATAAGCTGGATCCCCATTCCATTTTTAGTTCCTCTGGAAAGTCACCATGAAACAAAGAATAAAATGAAGATAAATCTTGCACTTGGACATACAAAAGCAATGAAAACCACATCATATTGCCATAGCATGTTGATCTCACTTCAACCCTTTGAGCCCACACCATTTGCAAACACTTTTGCTAAAAATGGGTTTTTATATTCTCTTTTTTAAAATGTCAAAATAATTACACTCTTCAAAGTATATAGGAAATATGTCTACTTTAAAGAAGAGAAGGGGAATGGGAAGGGAGAAAGGGACTCTGTCATTGAAGAAATGAACAGAATGGAAGGAAGGCCTGCAAGATTTCAGCAGCACAATAGTGGCCAATTATGTGGCAACAGGGATGCCATCATGGTTTCAAAAAGCAGGAATTGCAAGGGCTGCCTACTATTAACCATTTTCCTCCAACTAGATTTCCTCAGCAATACATGCCCAAGATTTACATATGCAAATTACCATGAACTCAGTTCCAAAGACCACATGCCTAATGCATAGGGGATGAGGATCCTATGCAATTGTGGACATCTTGGAGCCTTTTTTCATAAAAGATGTGACACTTCCAGCTTGACCTGAGGCTTCACATTTCAGAGATCTTACCACTTCCACATTAAACACATAGAAACATTCATACTACCATTGGGGGAGAGAGAAAAAACAAAATCTTTCAAATGCTACTAACAAGAAAGCAAATAATGGGTGTATGCTGGAAATCCACGTTTTGTTCTCATTACTTTTTCCAATAGGAACGAATCATTTGAAGATAACACTCTGGAAGAATCAGTCTAACAGGCAAAAAATTTGAAGGAAATGAACAGATGGGAGATGGGAGACAAGTGAATAGATCTTTTGCAGTGTGGCCTGATTGATTGGTCACAGTGTTCCAGCTTGAAAAGCACAAAGCTTGACCAGAAGGAGGGGAAACCCCAGCATGACTGCCATGGGTTTCACCCCTCCTCCTTAAGGCCTTGTAGCAAATAAGGTTGTTAATAACACAAAGAAAATAAATAACTGGTTAAGTAAAAGACTGCAAAATGAAACATGCAGGTTGCAATCACAGTGCTCTTATGAAATGGAGCTCAGCCATAAAGTTGTGTTTGGGTGGTTTTCTCATGTTTATGATATACATCATAACCAGGCATGGCTTCCTTTCTTCCACTAAAAGGGTAATTAATGTATACTTTCATTTGCTTGGAGAAATAAGGGATGCATCTTTGTAAAATTTAGGTTCACAGTAGGCACTCCACTTCTACCAGGCTTAGGGGTACAGGGCAGTCATGAAAGTGGTGAAATTGTGAGTCAAAAAAACCTGCTGGAAGGTCTACAAATGCCTAGAGATGTGTCCATACTAGGAATCTCTAGGTCCTGTAGTATGAATCTATGACTAACATCCATCAAAAATTGATCAGTGCTAAACAAGCTCAATGTACTCTCCTAATTCCATTCTTTAGAATTAGTCTTATGGATAGGAATGAAACTTTTTAAATTTAAATTGTTTATAATTGTTTTAATTGTTGTTTAATTTTAACTGTGGTTTTTAATGTATTATGTTGTTATCTAATGGCTGCATGTTGTAAGCCGCCCTGAGTTCCTCTTCAGAGGTGAGAAGGACGGGATATAAATGCTCTAAATAAATAATCATTGTTAAGACACTTCTTCCTAGAGAGTGTGTCCAACCTTGCTGCCTCTGCCCGTGTTGCAGTACAACTCACATCATTTCCAATCAGGATTGTGCATAGCCATGCATCATGGAAACTGTAGTCCAATGACATCTGGGAAATCCATGTTGGGAAAGTTAGAAGTGTGATGTCATCCTCCATTACATTAGAGTCTTGTGACTGATCTCCCTTGTCTCCTACACATGACTGCATGTCAGACTGGCTTTTCCTATCAGGGTTTGGGGACTCAGAAGTAGGGCAGAGAACCAGAAGCTAAGTTTTTTTTTAAAAAAAAACCCCTGCCAACCTCAAAAATTTCTTATTAAAATCTCTTCATTTTATTAATCTAGAAGATACATTAATTCTCTGCTTCTTGCTTCCATTAATTCTTTATTATTTGAAAGATGTCCTTTTTCATCACATTTTCCCCTATGAACCAGCACATACTCTTAAGATATTCAGGGAGGCTCTTCTCTCGCTTCCACCGCCATCACAAGCGCGGTTGGTGAGGACAAGGGAAAGGGCCTTCTCTGTGGTGGCCCCTCGGCTCTGGAACTCTCTCCCTAGGGAGATCAGACATGCCCCTACTCTGTCCATTTTCCGCAAGGAATTAAAAACTTGGTTGTTCCATTGTGCCTTTGATTAGGCAGCATACCACAGAATTTCCCAACCTTATCTAAGCTCCTGCACTTTACCTTGGTCCCTTTCTACCACTTCTAACACTCTAATTGTCACCCTTTCCCTCAGCTCTATGTAAGAATAATTACACTTAGGAATCATGAGCCCGAAGGCATCATTTGTTATTCAGCCATGATATTTTTTTATGATGTTGTCTGATTATGATGTTTTATTGATTTTTGTTGTTGATTGTATTTTCTGTGCTTGTTTTTAACCTGTATTTTCTGGGCATGTTCCTTTGTAAGCTGCCCTGAGTCCCTTCGGAGAGATGGAGGCAGGGTATAAAAATAAAGTTATATTATTATTATTATTATTATTATTATTATTATTATTATTATTATTTCACTATAAAATGCTATATTTACATCAAGGATACTAACTCAACATTGATTATTTTCTAATGCCCTTATTTCCTAACCGCTTCCAGAATATATTTTTCTTCATTTCATATGAATGAGATAAATCTGTCTTCAACTTAGTTCTACTATTCCTTTCACGGTACAGTTTTCATCGTTCTGATGTATATAGCTTCCTTTTGCCTTCTTGGCACATACAGCGTACACAGGGGGAAACAAAGTTGTCATGGTAACAAGCGTACAGTTTTTGAAGGGGAAAGATATCCTTATGATAGACTCAGAATGTGGTGTATCCATTCTCTAATGGATAAAGAAAGCATTTTATACTCCTATGACAGACTTCACTTGCGGATTCCTCATAGGTTTAAAATAAGAGTCGAGGTATCTGCTTCTGTGATTTGGGATTCATTGTGTGTACATTTTTGTTTAACCCCAGAAGCACACTACACAGCTGTGTTTATAAAACACATACCTGTATTTATTATCTGACATCAAATATCTAAGTATTATAATGCTTTGTATCATAATAGTTATTCTGTGGGGAAAAACTATTATGATATGATCAATTACAGTCCCCCTCCCATATCCCTTGGTATCTGCTTTGGTTTGGTTCCATAATCCCCCATAGATACCAACATTCATGGATGCTCAAGTCTCATTGTATATAATGGTGTTTCTTATGTAATATGGCAAAATAAAGGTTTGCTTTGTGGGTTTCTTTTAAAATTTTCAATCTGTAGGCGGTAGAATTCATGGATGCAGAATCCAAGGATATAGAAGCCTGGCTGTATTATATGTTCTATTGTTAATCTTCTAATGCAGTTCTAGTTATCCATCGGAAATTCATAGTAGGGTCAGCAAAATAATTGTATGCATATTTATCCCATAAATATTCCACTGAATGTAAGTGTGTTTACTTCCAAAGAAATGATTTCAACCTAAATCTTCTGAAGTCTTCTGTCTGAACCATACAGATTCAGGTCATTATTGGATTCATAATGTTTATGAAAATGGTGTTATGAAATAGATTACAAAGGTGGGATATCAAATTATCTATGAAGATAGTCCATTGCTAATAGCTGCACTGTTTATGTGCCTGGAATAGCCTAGCTAGTAGTGGAACAACAACACATAAAGTTCAACGTTTTTATGCTTTAATTTGAGGCGCAGTGGTGCTTGCAGAATTCATTTTCCACTGTCCATTACAGGAATATAATTTTTCACTCTGCCTAACAAGTGTGACCAAAATGAACTATCATTAGCTGACACCTGGAAAGGTAATAACCCTGTAGGATGCATCACAAAACCACATTTACCTGTGATACTTTCCCTACCCTTTAATACATTTCTGAGAACTCTACATTCAAATTACTTTTCTCACAAACATCCAGCAAGCAACTGCACTTCGTACAGAAGCTGCCCTTTTATTTGTACACAGTCATCCCTTTCTATGGCAAAATACCTCTTCCTTAACACTTTAGCATTATTGGCTGCTGCTCAGTTTTAAGCAGATAAATTGATTTTAAAAATGTTGTTCTGAAACCATTTTATCTCTCTTTTCTTACCTTTTCATGAGTTTGGGTGAACATTCTCTCTCCACGGTGGAAGATGAGTGCGTCACGTGCATGGTATTGTAGGACGTGTGAGTGTAGTCATTCTCATCACTGTAGTCTGGACCAAGTAATGTCCGAGCCCATGTGCCCATGTCGTAAGGAGGAAGGGTCCCTCCAAACTCTGAGGGCAGGCAGTCAGGGTGTATAAGCTGGTGAAGACTATTCAAATTGTTTCCGTGAAGAAAGATCTTAATTGAAAAAAGAAGGAGAGAGAACAAATGGACACAGATACTTCAATCTCTGTGTTTCATGACTGAATCAACGCTGGGTTTTTTTTTTTGGGGGGGGGGATAACTATACAGGAAGAAAACAATTCTGTTACACATCTGTCACTTCTATGGCTCTTGTTTCTTATTTAACCCTCAACTGAACCCGGGGTGGACATTCCCTTTATTGCAGAAACTTCCACAATAAAAAGGGGGACCTGGAATTAATTCGCCATTAACCAGGAAAACTCTGGTTTAACCCAGAACAACATCTGGATACCCACCCCAGAAATCCCAGTACATCTGGACACCCACCACAGAAAGCGCTCACTTTCTGGGGTAAGTGTGGACAAGGCCCCAGGAACATTCATGTTTTTTAAATGCAAATGCTCCTGGGATAAAGCCCTGTCTGGAAAGGCTCCCAGTTAGGCAGAGACAGGCCCACTTTTCCAGCTGCTTATAAACAACCATTTCTTTTTCCACTCCACCTTCTCAGCTTACTTCAAGTGCTGTAAATAGAGTTCAGTGTGCAAAAAGTAAAGCAAAAGTTTGATATGCCACAACAGTTAACTCAGAAGGGGGAGGCATAATTTTGCCTTTTCCAGTAGATATAAGCCAAACCAAACCATTGCGGTTTCTTGTAGCCTGTCTGATCTTTCTCATTAATAACTTTTGACCTCTTGACCACCCTCTTATGTTGCTTACCCACACGTTCCAGTCATCTGTGAAATGTTGGAGAATAAGCTGTTGGTTAATCCCAACTAGAGTAGACTTGTTTAATAACTTGTTGTTCACCATTTCACTAAATCAAACATTAGTTCAATGGGTTTGGTCCAGCTGAGGCTAACCATAGATTGAATATCTCAGGGCCCTTCCACACAGTCCTATATCTCAGAACATCAAGGCAGAAAATCCCACATTATCAGAGTGTGGACTCAGATAACCCAATTCAAAGCAGATATTGTGGAATTTTCTGCCTTGATATTCTGGGATATAGGGCAGTGTGGAAGGGCCCTCTGTTGTCTGCATAGCGTCCCAGATTGAAATGGAGGAAGAAAACGTCTGCTGACATTCCAATGAAGCTCTAGTGGGTGATTTAAGGTTCAACCTACAATAATCCTTAGGTATGTGTTTGAAAATCTAAAACTTACTTGTAAACTCTGTGGTGTTCCTGAGGATATGTGATGTATGTATGGGAATGTACTCAAAAGTTTTAGTTTGATTCAAATGATGATATATTATTAGTATTAGTTTGGAAACTGTGTGATTAGAAAATGGCAGAGATCAATATCTCCAGGTGTTTTGACCCATGTCTGAAATAGTTGGGTAACATCATCGATCCCAATCCCCTCATCCCTTTAGATAGAGAGATAATCTGCCAAAGAAGCAAATGGACAAATATTTCACAAGATTAAACATGTCTATAAATGGGGAGACAATAAGAATTCTTAGATCAGATTTTGTAAAATGTCCTACCGGTCCTTTTCTGTCTTAGTGCCATTAATGCTATCTATCTCATTTCAGCAATATGTGTTTAAACAATAAATCAGTGTCTTTTGTTTGTAAATTATGATATACGATCTGGCTTCTAAAAATAATTATCTCCTGATTAAATGTTAATTAAATGTGGACTGCTGGCGAACCGCAGCTGAGCTTTCAGTTTTTGCTGCCATACTTAGGCTACACAAAGGAAGCCACCAAGAGACAAAGAAGGAAGGAGTAAAAGCAGGAATCTACTTATGCCATTGCTGCATCACAAGCTTGTTTCATTCTCCAATTACCCTTTTCCTTGTCTTGTCTTTGAGGAATGGCTTGATGAGCGTGTACAGGGCATGGATGTACCAAGGCTGATTCACAAAATGGACTCCCCCGAAGCGAGCAGGAAAGCTGTCCTGGGGAGAAGAAAGACATGGAAGCCAATTAACTGAGACAGCCAGAGAGATGGACAAGTGGCAGGCTGGAGTCAGCCAGAGGAACAGGTTTGCCTGTTAATTCATGCATTATGAGACAGAAAGGGGGAGAGACACATTTGCTATGCACATGAACACGCACACACACAGGACTTCTAAGATTCTCTTTAAATGGATTTAGGTCCAAAGATGTGAAATCTAAGCCATTCTTGGCTCACATACATTCTAATTCTGACTCTGAGTTTTTATCTGTGAGTGTGAAAGAGAGAGAGAGAATTTTTGTTTTCCATAAAGCACGCCATAGATGTGGGAGGGTTTGTGTTTTCTGATTTCCCATTGTGTTACCGATCAAAGTTCCCACACATTGCCCTGAGCACAGCTCACCTCTTCACCCCGATGCTTCACTCCCTCCCCCCAAGCCATTGTTACAATAGCTGAACTTTCTGGGTGAACGAACTGCACATTATGCAGAAGAGGACGGGTGGAAAATGTTGATAAGTGAAGCTGTCGACTGGAGCAGCGTGACAGTACCATGGAAACTGATGCAGCTAAGTGCTGGCTTTGGAGGTTTTGTGCAAGGTACCCAACAAATTAGCATGCAGGTAGAGTCCTTTCTCCCTATTTCAGGTAAGAGGACTAGAACAGAGGGAAGAACAAACAGGCTTCTGGAGTCATTTGCTATCACACATTACACTTAATATTCTCATTCAATTCACAAAAATGCCAAGGAACACATTGACTTCCTTGCCTTTTTAAGGCGATAGACATAGGCAGCAATACATGATTCAATTACATCAACAAAGAAAGGTTGTTTGAGACCCCTGAACTTTAGGGCTTTAGAATTTTTCATGTAAAAATTACCAAAGAACTGTACAGAAAAGATTTTGCATGACAACACAGTAGCAAAGAGGAAGGAGGTATTGAATAGCAACCATATCAGAAAGGCCAGATGAATCATTTCACCTGGCTTGGAGCAGTGGGGTGAATCTGTTGCCCCATGTGCAGCTCCTTCTTGACAACACTTTTCACATCACATGGAGAAATGGGGAAAGTGTCGCCCTCACGGGGAGTACAATATGTTGGGGTGGAAGCACCTGGTGATGCTATCACCCCAGTTGGGGCAGGTCTTACACCAGGATTTACATGACATCGTGTGATGTCCAGCGTTGGCCTCCATCCCCCAGACAGGGTGAAACCACCCTAGGACACTGGTTTCACCCCATCTGATGTGATGGAAGTGTGTTATGAAACAAGTAATACAATTGCCAATCCATATTTGTGGTTTTGACTTTTGCAGATTTGATTTTAATTTGATTTTAAATGCTCTTTATAGGAATCTCTAGGTTCCCTTGTGTGGTTCTATGGTCATGCTGGAGGATCATGCTGGAGGATCTAGAGACATCTTGAGATAATACCCCTCTAGAAATCTTTAGATCCTCCAATGCAATTCTGTCCCGTGGAAGTTGACCATAGAATTGTGCTAGAAAACCTTGACATTTCTAAAGAGGTGTTCTCTCAGGTTAAACATTAGTTATTTCTTTCTTTGTAGTTCTTCACTTTCAGAGAGTGTCCTGTGCCCCTAACCCCAGAGATTGTGAAGGGCTCACTGTAGTTTTAAACATGGCAGATCAGCCTGTGGCCCTATAATTTCCAGCCTAGCCAACATTAAAGGATAGTAGAAGCAGTGGTTCACCAATACAGGGAGTTCACAGGTCTCCCAGTCTTGGTGGAAAAGGCTTTAAACATGTCATATTCTTTATAGACATCCCCATTGTTAATGCCAAAGAGAGTAAAGCGAACGGCAAAATATTTTTATATTCATTACTGTGAAATATCTTGATGGCAGACATAGAGTGATGTTCATGCCCCAGTAGCTGTAAATTAGTACAGTTTCGCTGAGTGAATTTTAGAAATTTAACACTGTGTCCCCTAATTTCTGAGAGAAGTGACGCTCAGTTGAAAGTCTATGGGTTTTTCTACTTTCTGTTCTGTGTGTGTATGCATGTGCACGGGTGCTTTCAGTTTCTTTGTTGACTTATGGCTACTCCATGCTGTATTCCTGGACAAGCAATAGTCAGAGATGGTTTGCCATTGCATTTCTTTTACATAAAGTTTGTTGTGTTTCTTGATAGTTTCTCATCCTGATGCCTCTTCCAAATGTAAATTAAATGTGGGAGCCAGGAGTAGTAGTAGTTTGTCCATACTTTGACTCACAGGAAAAAATCCTGTTGGCTATTCCATGAAGTGAAATAACACCAAGGATTTGGGTCATAATGCATTTCCAAACTGTACCAAAAGAGATACTACCACATATGGACAATGATACAAAATATATCCTGAAAATGTGCATCACTTAGCTGTGTGGCCTGATCACTTTGAGAAGGGTCAGTCTGTATTGTCAAAATATACTTCTGACTAAAGAACGACTATCAAGAGACAATATGAGCAGAAGATATACTATAGAAGCTACTGCCCAGTTCAAAGAAATATGATGCCTCCCCTTTCTAGCTTCTTCAGCATTATGTGCATGTGCATCAATGGACAACTATCCATAACTAAGAGCTCGCAGCTAGAGATGGATTCATATGTTACAATTAGGATTTCTAGGGGTGTAGCAAGATGAGGGTGTTGCCCCAGAAATAATAATTATTGCGGACTTAATGCCCCCCTTTGGTGTGCCTATACCTACATCTCCGTGTTATTATCTCTGGATAAAATTGGATGAAGATCTGAAACCTTCTGGAGTGAGTCTCTTACAAATCTAGCAGTAGCTTCCCAGGAGTGCTTTTTCTCAAAGTGATTTCAATGGCTGAAAAATGCTATTGTTTCCAGAGCTTGGCAGGAAATCATTGCAATTAACTAGTTACTGTTAACTAATTTGACTTCGCAATGACTAAGGCAAAACAAAGGATAATGCCACTCTTTTTGCAGTGTTTTATAATTACAGATTATATGTTACCTCAATACTTTGGAGGGTTTTTTTAAAAAACCTAGGTCAGTGACTTTTGAATACTTTGATGATTTTCCAAAAGTAGCTATTTTGGTTATATATGAATAACAGCAACTTTTAAAAATAACTTTAGGGATGACAACTATTTCTGGGGGAGGGGGATGGCTAGATGTAATTGTAACAAATGACTTCAAGTAGTTACTTTGAAGCTCCGATGCCACCATGATTGCAAAATTCCTGGAATCTGCCATAAAGTATAGAAATCAGTCTTCTGATTCGTGTTTTCACAAAAATATTAATCAGCCCTACCTAGCCAAGATTTAGGATAACATGAGTTTTAATCTGTAGGATTCCCATTAGGCCCCATTTCAACTGTCCTTATATCCCAGGATCTGATCTTAGGTTCTCTGCTTTGAACTGAATTATATGAATCTCCACTGCCAAATAATCTGGGATAAAGCAGATAATCTGGGATCAGATCCTGGGAGAGAAGGACAGTGTAGAAGGGGTTTTAATGTTTTGGGACTCTTTGTGCCTACTTCACATTTTGAGTTCCTTGTTTTCTACATATGTGGTGGAAAGTTGGGAACTACAGTTTACTTGTTCAGAGAGAAATTACATTTGTATTCCATCTTTCCACCAATAAACTAAATTAATGCAGCTTGAAACCACTTTAAGTGCCATGATTCATTGCTGTGGAATCCTGAAATATTTAGATTAGTGAGGCACTAGCACACTTTGGAAGAGACTTTGTAAAAAATTAGCCCCAATGATTCCATAGCATCGACACATGGCAGATAAAGTGATAAAAATGCTTTCCTTCTACAATGTGGATGCATCCTAAGTAGCATGGATGTTCTCTTTCTTCTTCCAGCTTTTGGTGGCTAAAATCATCCAGCATGTCCCATGGCCTAGTAGGGACTAGGAACCTCATCACATTGAAGTCCCTAACACAGGTGACAGCGGAGGAATTCGCCAAGCAGCATGGCGAATATGTGGGGAAGCGAGGGAAACTGTCATTCCATGCCCAGCATTGCTGCCTTCCCCATCACATGGGGGAAAATACCACCACCTGGCTTCCCCCCCCCCCCCCATGCTTGGCCCCGTTGTAGACTTTGAGAATACAGATAGCCACCCATCTGTCCTAGGATGCTTCCAGGAAGGAGTCCTGACGGAAGTAGCCCTGAGTCGAGTGAAGGGCTCCAACAGTCTCTGTCCTGGCTTCATCCTGGAAGCATCCTAGGACAGAGCAGAAGTTCATGTGATGAGGTCATATAATTTTGTTCATTTTGAAATATATTGCATGGTGTTTGATTTACATATATATGCATGCATTTCTTTGAAATTTTTAAACACTGCCCCTCCAAATAATAATTTTAAACCACCTGAAACCTTACAACCGTACACTCTGCCTCCTGCAGAATTTGGTGTTTGCAGTTTTGTGAGTCCGAGCAGTTTAAAAGCCCCTGCCTAAACTACAAACCCCATAATTTTGCAGTAGACAGCAACTGATTTAAAGTATGACAAGAGCCTAGTAGCTGCAGAACTGGAAAATACACATAAAAATAAAGCAAATTAAAATCAAAGGTATCATTGATAAGATGAAATGTATTTTTTTCTGAGATAACATCTCAGCCTTTCCAGATATTATTTTAAATAATGAATATTTTGGCTTGGAATTCTGAGGCTATGATACTACAATGGAGTTGGCTGCATTAAAAATGTTCCTTTAAAACAGAACTCATTTTGCTTCAGCTGCATGAAATAAACAAGCTTCTAGCATGAATTTCCCATTCTCCCTTATCCCACAGACTCTTCCCAAAACCTCCCCCTATCTTTCTTAGAAAAGGTGCGCTAGACATATTGTCTCCCAATAGGATAATAAAGAATTAATGCTGAAGAAGCTAGAAAGGGGAGGGAAGTCCCTGCGAAGGAGTAATTTGTTATTTTACTATCTAGTGGCTGGGGAATTTGGCTGCTCAATTTACCCATTTGTTTTCTGATTTCCCTAAGGTTCTTTTTGTTAACTTGG